CGCCGAATTGACGATGCGCCGAATTGTCGTGCGCCGAATTTCCCGCGCCGAATTGACGTGGAACCAATCTTTTTGTATAAATAATTTAATAAAAATGATTTGATGATATAATTAAAATATTGGTAATTTAACACATTTCATTTTTAATAAATTTCATGCAGAATAATTTTATAGCTTAATAAAAAAACATTAGACAGGACCGAGCCGAGCTGGACCGACGGACCCACGTCTGGTCTCACTTATCTTAACGGTCCATCGGTCAGAAAAAGGACCGAACGGGACCGGACCGTTCAAACACTAAGTTATGTAATCGCTAATTATATTAATAAAATACATTAATTTTTATAATTATACTTTACATTATAGATATAAATCTTTCTTTATAAATTTAATATTTGTTATTTTATTAATTTAATCATTTTTACACAATTAAGAAAGAATCTGAAACATACTGGGGGAAACAATTCTTTCAGAAATAGATAAAGTTGAATACATGTTCAATAAGTCTAAAAAAATTTCAATAGTCACGGATGCAAGTTCTAATGTCAAGAAAAATGAACGGTTAGTTTAATATGAACATTAGAGGACTGCAAAGTAATTTATCGCAACCCGAGCCCGAATTAAAAATATTTTTTTGTCCGAGCACTTCCCGGTAACACATTTTTAGCCCCAATCCTACTTTAAAATAATTTTAATACATAACTATAATTTTATGAATTTAATATATATTATTGGTATTAGAAAGTAAAGTAAAATTTAGGACATCGCCGGACCTCTGCTGATAAAAACGACGGGGTGAAAATTGGCGCCTTTACAATCGCTGAGTTCCATTAGATTTTTTTCTAAATGCAAGGACCTGAAGAGAGCAAAAATGTGAGTTAATTTTAATAAGAAACAATACAATAAACAATATAAGAAAGTATATATTTAAGATTTAACCGTAAAAATAGAACATATAAGTATTTTGTTCCAAAAGTCGACGATATTTAATTAAATAAGCTTTATATTTGAATGTATGTCGTTCTTATTGGGATATAGAATTCATGGCGCAACATTTTTGCCAACTTTAAGCTAAAAATAAACTTGAGGGCACTAATTCTAAGCACTTTTTTGCTTAGGTCTTAATATAATTGGTATATGTTTGGTAGAGTCTAAAGAGAAGTTATTACAAATAATAAAAACAGCCATTATGACAGAATGAAAATGATAAAAGCATGGAATATGTGGTTGGCGTTAATATTTAGTACCTGATCTCTCTATTTCATTATCAGTTTCGCCAATAACCCAATGGAAACGAATAATTATTAGATAAATAAAATTAATACTGTAAAATGAGATTTTGTTTGATATGTTAACTATATTACATAATGAACACGATATGTCTAAGAAATACGAATTAACGGAATCCATGATTGATATTAGATATCACGTCCTTTAGTTCTCCCGTCAGGAAATTTAGATTCCGATATCAATCATTTTAAAGAACATCTTTCTATTCTATCGTGTAACATTTAGATTGTAAATTGATGTGATATAATAAAATGTTAAGGATAGTACATAGGGGATCGTAGTACAACACATCTGGAACCTAGAAACAAAAGTTCTAAAATTTAATTGTGAAGTATCTCAAATAAATTTAAATTTACCTAAATATCGAATCTAGATATTCATATAAAATGAATACTAGGGGATCAACTTAGTGTATAAATGATTTTCAAAATGCAGCAAACAAATTTTAATAGGAAGCTTAACATGCATACTAGAATTTAACGCGACCCGAACCAGCTCGTAAATATTATCTATTAGGACTTTTGGCTTAGCCCGTTATTATTATTACCCGATCTGGCTTATGAAATATATTATGTACAAATTGTCCTGTCTTTAATAATTTTCCCGGTCTGGATTATAAAATATATTTTGTACAAAATGTCCAACCCGTAATATATTTTTACAAAGGTAAACGACATGAATTCACATAATTATTAGCTTTAAAATATTTTATATAGCCCCGAAAAACAATTTCAGCGTAGCCCGGAAATATTTTTACCAGGCAGGGATGATCAAACTTATAGCGCATACATCAGCGCCTACATGACAGAATATTCAATGGAGGCAAACCCGCTCAAAGACCAATCCCTACCCTAAAAAATTTCACTGCCTTAAGGGGCGATATGCTTACTTTACGAATACAGATTTTTAATTATAATCTCATCATATATTTTAAATAAAAACTTAGGTTGTCAATACACTACTACAGAGTTGGGCAGCACCGCGAATACTTGTATCTAAGATACAAGATCCTTTTGTATCTTGTATTGACATTTTATTAGATACTAGTATCTGTATCTAAGATCCTTTAATCTGAAAAATATATTGTATCTTTTTCATTTTCTTGACAAAAGATACTGATTATTTTTAATATTAATGTTCAAAATTTTACATCTTGTATTAATTTCCTTATTTATTACGTAATATTTTAAATATATTGAGAACCAAAATTAGTTGGAAAATTTAGAACTCATATTAAGATAGATAAATAAAAAAATAACAACAAACGAAATAAATAAAGATTATATTTTATATATAAATGTAATTCGATAGAATATCATTACTTTTATGTAATATTTTTTAATATATAGGATGATCAATGACATATAATAATACCTAAATTGACGATGCATTCTTAATAATGCATTTGAAAGAGTCGTTGAATGCAAATCAGCTGTACCCAGCATTTTGATAACTCATATCATATAGTAATTATTCTCGTGTTAAAAATTACTATTAAATTAATAACTTGCTTCCTTTATCTCGATGATTAGGCAAATCTTAATAATAGGAATAAATTGGCTTCTCGTTTAAAATTTATAATAATGCTATTGGTAATCAAAATGACCCCTCCAACTGTTTTCATTGATGTACACTTTTAATGAATGCATCGTCAGTCTAGGTAATATATGTCATTGAGGAAACTCATGGTAGTGAGATTTTAATTATAATAGGTTCCCCTGAATCAAATCCTAGCCTTAAAATTATTTTAAAATAAAAATTAAATAAGACATTGTACAGGCTGAATGTAAAGCCTGTATAAACAAAAAAATTACAAAGGGTTCAACACAATTTGTTAAACATATTAAAGTATATTATTTATGTAGTTTAAAGAGACATAGGTTATCTTAAAAACAAGTTTACAATATTGTCTACGTTTTTTAAAAGCTGCCCAAGATGGTATGGGCAAAATAAAGAAAATATTTTCCTATGATATGAATATAATGAGGCTGTTTTGGCATCAATATCACCTACATATTTTAAGAACTTATGGATTGAGTCCGATGATAAAAAAAAATACTCTCAAAATATATTAAAAGCCCTAAATGTACTACCAGATAATCAAGCTCAAACTATAACACCAATAGATTTAACATCTAATAAAGAAAATAAATATTTTTCTTTGTGAGAAAAATGTTGCTGAGTTCAATAATATAAATAACAAGGTTTTTTATTATATTAAAGAAAGTCGAAATACTATAAATGCTTAACTATTATCCTTCCATTAAGGATTTTTATTAAATATAATACTGCATACTTTCATCAGCTCCAATTGACAGGTTATTTAGTTTTGACAGAATGTTAAGTACGCCAAAACGGCAAAGGTCAAAATTATAAATTTTTTGAAAAATTTTATTATCTTATAAAATATGAATTTATTTTAAATACGCTTTTAATTTATAAAGAATCTGTATTTAGATTCTTTTTCTGGAGGAGCTGCCCAATTCTGACTACTATCAATGTAATTTATTTTTTATAATATGAATAAAATTAAAAACTTTCCCCTCATTTATGATGAATATCATAGTATTATTGTTTGTCATGAATATGAGTTTGCTGATACTAACCCTTATAAATAACATTTAAAAATAGAACTGGAAATAAGTTTTATTTGGAAGCTGATCATATTTGTATGCAATATTTATATTGTGGATTTTTAGTATAAAAGTATTAAATAAATTATTACAGCAATACATTTTCCCCAATTTTTAAAATAAAATTAATTAATACCCCCCCCCCCCTCCCAATATACCAATTCTCCAATATAGAAGATGACAACCAAAATTATTTTAAAAATGATCAAATTTTAAAATCTAAAGTGGGCCTATTTTTATTGAAAAGTCCAGATCAGATCTTAAAATAGTATCTTTAATTCTGCAGTCTGGTGTATTATAAATCTGCTTTAATCTATACATATTACCATAAAAAAGGAATCTAAATATTGGAATCAGAGTGGTTAAATTTTATGTTTAACATAAATAAAATTATATTATTTATCAGACACTTTCCCTCCAATAACTCATATTATAAGAGGGTGAAATTTTTCATTATTATTATCTGGATAAGGGTAAAGCACCTTATTCACGAGATATTGCATCCACTATATTATTTCCATAAAATTCGTTTCGGATAATACCAAAATCGAACTAAAACAAATTTCATTATAAAAACCAACAAAAGTTTATTTTGAGTTTTTTAAAGCTGCATCTATGTAATGTCTTAGGCATTTTCTTTCTTTTATGCTTCCTTTTATTAAATATGTATTTTAGAAATCTTTCTTTAAGAAAGCTAAAACTAAATAATTTTCTTTCATGAATTTAAAAAAGCGCTATTAGAGGGATATTTAAAAAAAAGTAGTTTTCTTATTTATTCAAAGGTAAATGTCTTACCTAATATTAAAACAGGATCAAATGAGATTTTATTCTTCATGCTATTGGAAAGTTGTTAGTTAGATTCAATATCCCAGAATATTTGTTCTTATCCACCTTTGATTATGTATAGAGATGATGAACACAAAAAACTCGTAATTAAAATATTATAATTTAACGACAAATACAAAATTTATACATTTTATATCAAGAAAATAGTTCATAAATATTATAATGACGTAATATATTAAATTTTTTATATATTAAATACTATTTACCTTTTATTCGTTTTGATAATATAATAATTTGATTCCAGCATTATATTATGTATTTATTTACAAATGTTTTTAACACCTATTAAAAAATATAACGATTTTGTATTATCATTTTCCACTTTCTTTATCTGTCAATATTTTACTTATTTTTTTCCAAATATAAATCATTTATATATACGATATTTTTTCCCAGCTTTCGCTTCGAACCCTACAGCATTCAATAGTTTAATGCATATAAATATAAAGCTAAAAGAGTACTAATAATGAGAGAAGCGAAATACAAATGGAAGACCTCAAAAAGAATTTTTAGTCTTAATATATTTTTTCTATTTTCTTTTGGTCCAATCCCGGGGATTCCAATGCATAGCTCGACTGTCTATTCTCAACTTTCTTTTACTCTTGGCTTTAATGTGATCTTCGACTAGCTCCTTGTCTAGTGTTATGATGTAAGCTCCTTTATAGTAGCACAAAACGTTCAAATTTTGGAGTGTATAAATAATGTCCTCTTTTTTGATACTGGTCAATTCAGATATTTCACTAAAAATTGTTTATTATATATTCAGTTAGATCAATATTTTTTTTTAAAAAAAGAACATAAAAAAACTAGATGTGCAATCGAATCAATAAAGATTTTTAAGGACTGATCTGATTTTTAATAATATTTGGAAAGGTCCCATTATTAACATTCAATCAATCCGCCATTTTTAAATATTATTGACAATGTAGTCAATATCTCTAAAATAATTGATGCACCCCTATAAGAAAATTAATACTTTATAGATATCTGGGGCTGAGAATTGGTCTCCTCAGATCCGCCACTACCTCCTCCCGCGACACTATTAATGTTACCCAAGCTGCCATAATTCGAGTTATTAACATCAAGCATATTGCCGTTACAGCTAGAGTTCACGGTAGACGAGTTGTGGGTGAAGTTGGAGGAATTGCTGTTAATGGATGAGGAATTGGCTAGGGATGAGTAAATTTTACGATTGTGTTTGAGGTTGCAAAGGATGTCGAATATGGTTTGGCTCCAATAACTCCGGTAGGAGAGAAGTCCGAGATCTGAGAGCGGTTTTTCTGGGCTGCCTACCTTACCCTCTCGTTTGGATAGTTCGTAACCTATACGATCGATTAATAAGGGTAATATATGTTATGATTTCTTCATTTTTTCAATACTTTTTTTTGACAAAATGCATTCCGGGAAATTTTAACATGGAATAGATTTTAAAAATTGACTCACTGAATTCGATGAGTAATTTTCCGAAACCTTTTCTTTGGTAAGGAGGTAGAGTTAGAATGCAAGCCACGTTATAATCTTCCGAAGATTCCTTTTCCTAATGAAGATATGGATTTTAAAAAATAATTAATAGACATAATTCTGGGAAAATTAATGACAGCGCTTTTTGGGAGTTATTTCCTCTTCCACCTTATGCTCGATTATTTTCTTAAATGATTATGTGATTGCAGGTTTATTTGGAAATAATTGAAACTTGTTCTATTTAGCGGAAAATATATTAAAAAGGAGATTATGTTGGCAAATTTTAAAAAACAAATTATGCTAAGCTTCTAAAATGAACCTCATAATTAATGGTAAAGATATCATTAATCGATCTGATATTACACATATTATTTTATAATAAGCTATTTTATGAAACTCTAGGAATAAAAAGATATCATTAATCGATCTGATATTACACATATTATTTTATAATAAGCTATCTTATGAAACTCTAGGAATAAAAAGATATCAACATAATTCACTCCTAAAATGCCATCTTTTGCCTCGGCGAGGAAGGGGATGACTGTCTCTGAGTGTGACAAAAATTATGAAAAATGGGAAGGATGCTCACGATTAGAGACAGATGCAGGTCTAATTTTTATTCATGGCCCACCCGCTCATTATGGCAAAAAAATCATGCCCTTTCACGCTTGCTGCTAAAAAATTTAACCTAACCCGCCAGCTCACGAAAGACAATATTTTAAAGCCGAAAAATTCACGGTTTAAAATTTTTTTTCTATATTTCATAAAACATTAATGCTACCTTTACTTTGAATTTATTCTATCATAGTTTTTTTACTTCTTTAATCCCATATTAATAACAAACAAAATCATTACCATTGATATATCAATTTTAAAAAAAAATGAATTTATTCTATCATAGTTTTTTTACTTCTTTAATCCCATATTAATAACAAACAAAATCATTACCATTGATATATCAATTTTTAAAAAAAAGGAAAGAATGTCCATATTTTTTATTTTAATTATGTTTGATTTTCTTCTAATAAGCAATTGGATATACCCTAACCCAGGGTTAGGCTACACATGGCTTAAATCTGCTTAGTAAAGATTTATGCCAAATGCGTTTTATTGAAAAGATCATCATAAAAACCACATAAATAATTAAATATATAAATTTAATGGTATTATATTAACAAAGTTTAAAGAAAGGCAAGGATATAAATCTTCCTTAAAAATTCCAAGTCCGACATGATGGAGAGGTTTTGTTATAATGTTGCAAAGTATTGTGGAAAATAAGGAAGTTATGCAAGAAATTGCAATTTATTTATAACAAAATTATAATTGTAGAATCGGATACAGCGGTATTATCTGATGTACCAGAAATATTTTGAAAAGATAAACTCAATTCATCAACTTTTATTTTTAATGAAAATGATTTGAAAAGTGTTAAGATGCATATTAATAAACGAAAGAAATTATTTTTCCGAGAATATCATTATGCAACAAATAAGATCCTAGATATTATGGTGTGAAATTAACAGACCGCAAATTAACAGCTTTACATTTAATAGCGATATTGAAAAAATTATGGGCAATTTAGCAGAATATCGTTCAAAACAAGGTTTCTACAAAGTGGCATTTGGGAGAGCTCGATCCATACCAAACCACTCATATGGTGGAAAGGGTTGTGTACAAACAAATCAGCCTTTTTGTCAAGTGAAGCTTTCTTACGTTATCATCCTCAAGTGCCTCGTCAGAAAGAGTCTGGTCAGCATTTGGAAAAATTCATTCAAAAACGAGAAATGGGAAAAAATGGTCGAAAAATTAATATCAATAAGGCATCATATACATTTAAAGGATCACATAAATACATCATGTTCGGGATATCATCAAAAGAGTTTAGATTCCGATTTAACAATATCAAGTGATAATGATGATATTTCAATTGCATCCCATGAAAATGTTGATGCTATTTCATTAACATTCCATGAATTTTAAATGTAATTTATAATACTTGCTTCTTGTAATTAATAAAGTTATTCAATAAAAAATGAAATATTTTGTATTTTTGTCTTTATTGTTTAATTATTTATTTTCCCTTAGTTCCACAAATTTAATAAAGTTATTCAATAAAAAAAAATTGAAAGGTTTAAAGTGTATTTTGAGTTTATTTTTTATTTCCCGTTATTTCCTTTTTACGGAAAATTTATGTTCAGGCCCAATCACGCCCGGCTAAAATTTTGCGAAGGCCCGTCACGCCTAATAATTTAAAATTTATTCTCACGCACACCGTGACCTATTATGTCACGCATAACTTCACGTCCCAAACCCACGATAGTGAACTTTGTAGATATCATCAGCCATAGGGGTAGGTGTAAACAGTTGATTGAATAGATCAATTAAAAAATATCAACCAATGGTCTTAATTATTTTGCCTTTCTATTCTCTTTCTTAATCTCTTCGCATCAAAAATAAAATTCAAAACAAAATAAAGGTACCTTAGAAAAATAACCGACAATGTGAAACCCTTTAGGGTCGTATTCCGTCATGACGTAGAAGAGAAAGGGATCGGTATCGTAATAAAGTGTTTTGTGATCCAGGAATAGCTTGGCCAGAAGGCACAAGTTTTGACTAAATTTTTTGCACTTTCGACCATCTATTTCGAAGACAGATATGCAGTCCTTGCGGTAAATCTCGTTGCCGGGTGGGTGGCGCCAACGACATTTAAACTTTATATGAGTTTTTAGTGATATAATTTTTTTAATGTAATTAATACCAATTTTTAACGGTTAATATATATATATCTCCGTTAGGTCATTATTAGGTTACAAAGGCTAGGGCAGTTACATTAGCCCAGTTCAAAATTTTTATTTAACAAATATAATATATACAAAGCATTTTTATGAAGATAAGATAAACGTAAAAATTACTAATTTTTCCGATTAATTATTGTATTATTTAAAGCAAGATTAAATATTATTTTTCATGTTATATTTTAATATTTTTTCAGGCCCGACCGCAAATCGATATTAAAATTTTTCCAGGCGGATGAAGCATGACTCTAAGAAAAGTATAGTACATAAAACTAAATAAATACATGTATTTAAAATGTTACCAAATGTCTTTTCAAGCAAGTTGAGCTCTTCACGTATTTCAAGCAAAACTCACAGATGTACACTATGGGCAAAAGAGTTAATTCCTTACGATAGTTAAAAAAAAATTAAAAATAAAAGTTTCTAAAAAATTGTTAAAATTATAAATAAAATTTATTAATTGTGGACTAATTATCACAGATGGGAATTGCTTAGCAGCTTTTGACAAGGCTGTAGTTTATAGCAAATATATATAGCTATTAGCTGTATCTATATACATTAGCTTGACTAATAGTTATAATGGCACCTGTTAGTTTTTTTAAAATCAATATTTTAAAAAATTTATTAGCTAAAGCTTTTAAAACTGACTATGATAATAATTATTTATGATTAAAGCTAATAGCTAGTTATTTGGCTAATAATCGGGTACTCTTAGTCGTTTCCCCACCTATGTTAATTATAAGTCGTTTTTATTTTTTTATATTATATTCAAAATAAAATTGATTTAAACACAAAATATTATTAATATAATTGGATGTAGGAGACTGCAAAATAATTGCAAATTAAATAGCTGTCACTCGAAGAAAGTGTAAAGCTGGTGATCGAAATAGACCCATGCATAACATTCAATTTGATTCTGCTCGCAAAAATCAAAATGATTTAATGGGTGCGAAGAGGACCAAATGGGGCTACATTTGGTTGATTGATTAGGAAATTACAGAAAATAGAAAAAAAAATGAGAATTCGAATGATAAAAAAATTCTTCTGAAGTCACAAAGTAGTAGTAAAAATTCTAAAAAGTTATTACATGTATAATATGCATTTTTAAAATAATACTTGGGGATAGGGTGAGAAATACCATGGTTTTATTTTGTACCTGCCGAACTGAATACACTGGATGTTCTTGATACGAGTTACGATATCCTCCTCAGCCGTATGAGCATGGGATGACGTCATGCTACCTATTTTTTTTGTGTTAAGAACAAATAAATGATAAACCCACTTCAAAGTCAAAATCGAGTAAGGATTAAAATCTTCTATAAATTAAAAGATTCGTCTTTGAATTTATGAGAAGAAGAGTAAGTTAACAAAAAGTAAATATCTAGCAATATACGAATGAACCCGAGTAAGTATTTACGATGTACCTATTGTGCAAGACAGACCAGATTAAGAAATAAAAATGAACAAAAAAAAATATTTTTCGGACAATCAGAAAAATAATGATCTATAAAAATTACGAAAATTAGGAAGGAAATAGTAAATGTTATAGGTAAGATTTTTATGAAAAATAGAATTCTATTTCCATAATTTATCATTCTAGAAGTTATGACATATCTTAGCTGGAAAATAAAAAATTTAAAAAATTAAATAAAATATTTATGAAATCGGTAGCAAGGGGGAAAAAACGCAATTATTATAATAAAAATATTACCGGTCATTTTTCGTTGGCCTCCCGTTAACCCACTAGTAGGAATTAATCCGTCAGGAACAGTGAGCGTAGAAGAACAAGTTATAAGTTGTTGAATAGTCTTAGTTAAGTTATGATGAGTCACCAAGTTATGTGAAATATTAGTATCTTCAGAAGAATAATTGGAGGCATTATCCGTATCATAGTTGGTTTTGATGTTCATGTTTGTCGAATTTATAGTGTTTGGGTCTATTACTTTGCCACTTTCCAAATTTAATGGCAAGTGAGGTGTGAGGGTTTGATTACTGCTGGGAGATGGGTTTTGATGAATACCAGACAAAAGGGATATAGGTAGGGGTTCGTTGGATTTCGGGGTCAGGGCGTTAAGGTTTAGTTTAGGGATATCTCTTGATGGTGGCTTTCCAGTAGGTTCGTCTATATGAAAAAAATACCATATATTTTTAAATCATGGACTTTTTTTTGCATGTAATAATTTTTAATTTTCAATTAGAAAATATTAAGACAGTTCAAATTATATTTTATACTAGAAAAACGTTAACTAAAAACATTAACCTCCATCAAGACTTGAAGTTTCGAATAAATCCCTATCTCCCAATATATTTTTATCTTCTGCAGAATTGTTTTTCGTTAATCTTCTAGTGCCCCGATCTCTAAAAATCGCCTGCTCTGAAGTTTTTTATGTCAATACAAATTAATCATTTAGAAAAAGAAATTAATGAACAAAACAGAATTAAACATAAGCCCGAGACTAGGGCGTATTTCTTAGGGTTGAGCTTTGAGCCGACTAGCAGGGCTCTTTATAGCTGATCGAGTTAATCAAAGATTTATTACTTTCAACAATAATAATCAAATTATCATCATGATTGGGTTTAAGATATTAAGGCAAAAATAGCACTTAGTCAGCTGTTAAATCGCTAACGATGTTGCGGATTCGTACTTACTATAATGAAAGTATTAGGCCTTCATCACTCCATAAATTAATAAAAGCAATTAATACTGAGCGATACAATGAAGTGAGGTAGGTCTCGTTTATGGTAAGCACGTATCGCTCAAGCAATGCGACACACATCGCTGGATATTTTTCAAAAGCAAGCAAATAATAGGCAAAATTATAATGATTGTGCGATGCATTTAATGATATATTATTATTCAAAAAAAATTACGGGAATTTTTTTATAAAATCCACTTAATGCCTATAGATCAGTTATATCAAATGTATATAGATATGGATACAATTTTCCCAGGTACATATTTTCTTATAATCATGAAAAGCGTGCAATGCTAAAATTAAAAAAAACCTATTGTTAAAACTAAAAAAATTGAACCAAATAATTTTTATTAAGCTTGATATTTTATTTATATATATAAAATATATAATTAAATGATTATAAAATAGTATTGTTAGCTTTCAGTAATAAAACATTCGTTTTTATAACCAAGGCATCTCCATTTAAGCATTAGACATACTAAAAATTCTTACAACTTGTGGGTTAAGTAGAAAAATGTTTTAGTTACCATACTCATTTTTATAATAATCAAAGTTTGACAGGTGTTAAAATATATATCCTGGTCCATATCCCCTTATGGGTGTTGAAAAATTTTCTTTAAATATTCGGCATTTAAAGTCAATCTCAATTTGGAAATATTTCTGATGCTGTTTCATTGTTTCTTCATTATCAGTATAATTAATATTAATCTAAAAAATTTATGATATTTATATTTATCATATTTTCGTCATTCATGTGTAAAATAAAACTTGCTGTGAATTAAACTGAACAGTATTTTATAAAATTAAATTAAATAAAAAATGTAAAATATAATTATTACATATAGATAGAGCTAATAAAATGTATCTAGATGCAAATACTTTATACAACTCTATTTACAATTAATTTCACTAAAAATTTCTTTCATTACAGATAAAATATGAATAATCAATTCTATTATGATTTTGAGCCGAATCTAGATGATAAAAAATCTATAGATTTTGAAGTATTATTCTTGAGTAGCTTTGATTGTGTATGGCCAGATTAGATTTTAAAAATAGTAATTATTTTTACAATTTTTTAAATATTTCCTTTATTTAAAAAAAAGAAAATATAATATTTACATGAACATACACATTGTAATCATTTCTAGGGGGGGGGGGGGGGATAGAAAGATAATGTTTATCAGGAGTGCATTGAAGTATTGACAGAAATTCTCAATTTTAGCCAATTTCAAAATAGTAATTAACCCTTCTTATAAACTTATTTTAACCCTTCATTCATTACATGAATTCACAAAAATTTGATAAATAAATTTCTCAACCAATAAGAAAGAAAGAAGATGATAATTTTTTCATATTTCTTTCTTAGTATTACAAATCTCATATATCAATTATGAATGATAAATAAAAAATTTCAAATAATAAAATAACATAAATGAATTATATATTTAGTAATGGACAAATAATGGTGCATCTCGGATTTAGCTTTAAATAGTATTTACAGAAGGTTGCGATAGCCTTTAAATTATGATTATAAACTATCCTATAAATTTTAATAAAAAGTGTTTCAATATTTCTAAAAAGATCAATATAAAGTGTATTACCATTTTTCTTGAATTCATTTAGATTTGACACCTTAAGCGTTGATGATGGTATTTTAAAAGAACTTCTTCTAGTATTGGTATTTGCATTGTTTTGAAAAGTTTCATCTTTAAGAGCTTTAAGAAATCAAATTGTTTAAATATAATTTAGATAAAGATAAAATCCATTTAATTTTTAATATAAACAAGGTTGAAAAAATAAGTGAAGATAGTAGGCATAAACCAACAAAAACTATAAATAAAATATAAAAAATATTAAACAGCAAAAATAAAATCCCAAAATATATTATTAAATTTTTTTTATATAATCCTGGAATCATAAGAATTAAATACCGAAACTGTATCAATTTATAAGTAGCAGATAGCCTGTTAAAAATGGTGGATGTATCAGAAATTGTTACTTTATATGATGATGGGTGCATTAAATATTTACCTCATTTTTGAAGTATGAATCAGAAGTTTACCTTTATTTTGATGAGTTGATTCAGAAATCTTCCATTATTTTGATTAAATATCAGAGACCTGCAGACCCGGCCCTAAGCCCGAGTTCATGTGCCGAGCCAAAATTATTGTTTCTAAAAAATAACCAGGCTGAGCCTAAAAATTATTTTTTAAAATACCAGGGCAGGGCGGATATTTTATATCGCTATCATTATTTAAAAAAATTAAAACGAAATAATATATAGTTAAAAATTGTGTATCATAGAACAAGATATCACATTCATTCACTTATAATATTTTCCTATTTCTATTGTTACGATTCTAAGAAATATTTCTAGTAAAATATTATTCAAATAAATTATTTAACTAATCATCATTTTAGGTGATATTCAATTAAATTAAAAGAAACAATGATAAATTCAAAATTTAATATAATTTTTAAGAGAAAAATTTATTTTATAAGTATCATTTTATCTCTCTTACTCTTTGTCAAAAATTAAGGCAATTAATTATATATGTTGTCAGGAAGGGAGCACAAAATGACTTTTACTTATATGCCTATTAAATTATAAGAGGCAGGAAATAGTGGAATGGGAAGTGTGGTGATTCTAGGTATATTGTTTCTGAGAGGTCCAAAGTCAAATTTTTTTTAATGATTTCCACATTTATACATTATGCGTCCAAACTCAATTTCGTAAATTTCATTAATAAATTTTTCAGATAAAATTTTGATTTTGGACGCACCCTTACTGTTATAATTTTATAAAATCTTTTATTTTTCATTAAATTTAATGACTAAGAGAAAAATAGTAATTTCAATTCCATTAATGTGCTGTAACGCCTTTCGAATTGCAATTAATATGTTATGTTTTAGACGGGTTATTCGGTGGAAGATTCAAGTTAACTCTAACATAGCAGTTAATCAAAAAATTTGTAGTTCTTTTTTTTTTAATTTTATACTTTTCATGGAGTTTTTACTTAGTATACCTCTACAACCATGAGAATGATTTTGGGATCAAGGCAGAATGACATTTTTTGCAACTGCACAAGGCAAAACTTTTTGCGATAGTTTAGAGGGTATTATGGTTAGCTGCTAGAGCAAGTCTTACTTCCTTATAGAAATCATTATGCGAGAATTAATATCCTGGCGATTAATCATATATTCGTCTGCAACGTTGAATTTAAGTGTTGATATCAATCTCAAAAATAGATTTTTAACAACCAAACGAATCCCCGAAGACAATAATTTCATGCATTTATTCCCATGGAAGAAAATGAAAGTCAAATTTTATTCAAATTCATTGGAATTAATATGTTTATTATAATATTCATGCATAAAAATAATTAGCCAAATATAAAGTTATAAATATTTTTTACATTAATTATCTTCTAACACAATGTCTACTAGTTGCATTAGGCCTAATTTTTTAGGTCCAGCCAGAGATATTAATAAAAGGTAGGCCCAGCCCGATCTATTTTTATTTGTCCCAAAAGCCCAACTTGAAAAAAAAATTTTGACCCCGGCCCGAATTTATTTAAATTATCTATTTCTAATAGTTTTGATTACTGAATAAAATAGTTATAAAATCATAAATTATTAATAATAATACAAGACCAAAACAATCCATGTTAAAATAATTAAATTTACAAGAATAAACAATAGAAAATTTTATTTAAAATCATATAACTTTCTATGTTTATAAGAAATAGGCACAGATATAGCAGTCTTATTTTCTATATGTTCATCTCTCAAAGGAGGATTCATTGATGTATCCATTACGGAGCTGAGTATTTATGGAGTATGGTTCATTGTTAATATAAATCTGAAAAAATGCTTAGAGCCAACCTTTGACACATAGGTAGTAACCCTAGTTGGGATCCTTAGTCCTAGCAAAGATCCAGTACCCCAACTCTTTAAAAAAAGGTTGGGGTATGAGAGCCGATATCCAATAACATATTTCTTATGAGCCTACTGCTGTCATATGATCGGAACCAGAAAATTAAGTGTCATCAATCTGGGCTACCCATCTCATCACCAACCATTCCTCCATTGATGCCTTTTCTGCTCTTGTCCTCAGTACAACTAAGCAACCCATCGCTTCCCTATCTATTGTCTGATAAGCATACAGGCCCAACAGTCCAGACCTCCACTGGAGCAGATGGTCGACATTTAATCAGGCTGAGTCCACATATGTAGAAATATTTTTAACAAAACCAAAACCATTCATCTTATCCCGAATACCTAAGGGAACAAAACTTCAAGTTGCCAGACATTTATTTCATTGTTAAGTAATTATTCTTCGGCAAACCACTGGCTAGATATCCTGTAATTAACCATTAGGAACTTGCTTATTCCCGATCTTGCTGGCAAAAAAATCATGTACACCGCACATTAGTGATGCCACGATCTACTCCTTATCCATTAATCACATTTCCACATCCTTTATGAGTGCTGAGATGGATAATAAGAATCACAAAAATGGCCTGCTCACGAAGGCCAGACTAATATCTAAAAAGCTTACTTAATGTTAAATTTACCATATGTCAGGCAATGGCAATAAGCTGGCTCCCTACGACCAAGCAACTTACCAGGCTCTTTTTAAAACACCCCTCAGACGATGTTAAAGATGAAATACCAGCTTACCATGAGGTTCCTCTAATTGCAGCCACCTATACACAAGCAACTTAAAAAAAAACCTTCCTCTCCTTCATACGCGTCTCCTCGCCATGGTTTGATGGGTTTCACCCAATATTCATACAGGATCTAACCAAACTTTGTATCACATAACAAAGCAACGTATGGAAAAAATTAACCAACTTGTCGGTCAAATGCTATTGGAGGCATACCACCCGCCACTAATATCATAGCTCTCCATAAACATAATAAAGATATTCGCCTTATCACTATTGAAACGCTTGGAGCCGATTAATTGCCATGCTAGTAATAAGTAGAATATTGTTCATGATATCCAGTCACCTGCACCCACATCAATTAGGGGTTAACGTAAAGATGGATGTAAGATATCCCCTCATATAACCCAGATGTATTAAAAAAGCCCAGTGATATCCTAATTAAAATGGACTTTTCAAACGCCTTTAACTATCTAAAGAGGTAGCGCGTTTCTAAATAATGAAGTCTTGTCCCCTTAGGTATTTAGGGTATGGCAAATAGTTTTAATGTTGTTTAAAATATTTCTACATATGTAGAGCAGGTTGGACCAAGCGTCATATCTGGGGTAGTGGAGGTAGGATCTGTAAGCAGTATGCATATCAACCAATAGATTGGGAATGGTAGCTATGGATTGATTAGTTATATTGAGGGCAAGAGCAGAAAAGCATTAAAGTTTCGAGGAATGGCTGGTGATGAGATGGGAAGCCCAGATCAATGACACTTAATTCTCTGGTTCTGATCAGATGACAGTAACCTCCAGGTTACATTAATAAGTTAATATAATGGGCAGTTATATTTATTAGGTGCAGTGCTGAGGTCTGGTAGGCTCATAAGAAATGTGTTACTAGTATATTCGCCTTCACGCACTAGCCTTTTTTAAAGAGTTGGGGCACCGGATCTCGGACAGAGGATCCCAATGAGGGTTATTATCTATGTCAGAGGTTGGCTCTAAACATAAAGATGAGTAAATGAGACCCCATTAATGAACATCCTATACATGGGATATGCTTAAACTACCCAGCTCAGTAATGGCATACCAAGCATTTGTTGAGAGAAGAACAACTAGAAAATAAAACTGCTATATCTAGGTCGATTTCTCATATAGAAAATCAAGTTTATGATCATATTACAAACAAATAAAAATTATGGGCCATTTGTTTATTTATTTTATTTCAAAATTTAAGGCCAACCCAATATTTTTATAAAATAAAATAGGCCCAACAGAGAGATATCCAATGTCCACCCATCTATTTATTACATGTCTAAATTTGTTTTCTTTTTTTTGCCGATCCACATATTTTTCACCGATCCGATCCGATATTGCTTAAAACCCGATCCAATATAGATCCGATATTTATACTGATTTTTAATCACCCCCAATCAATATTTTATATGCAAAAAATCGAATTATGAATTTAATTTTTTTATTTCTACAATTAAGATTATAATAAAAAAATATATATTTAATAATAAATCCATTTTATGTTGGTATGAATTATAAAATTGTAATATTTAATATAGAAAATTATAATATATTAGATTTTTTAAATAAATATGAGAGCCGATTTTCTGGGAATAAGCTTCTATGATATGGACTATCTATATCTCCTGCCGTACTGAAGGCAGACTCAGATGATTCTGCAGATAACGCATTTTGCAAAATTATCTTTGTCTTTTGTAAAATATTTCCATAATTCAGATACCACATTTAAAAAAATTCTTTTATTTAAAATATAAATAAAAAAATTGACGTTATTTAAAAAGATTTAAAATAAATAAAACTTTGGGTGTTCCTTTCTATTTATATAAAAAAAAACTTTTAAAATACTATAAATCTATTTTTAAAAAAAATAAAATTTAAAAAAAATATTTAGAAAATATTATAATAATGTAAAATAAATATACATAACATAAAATAACAAAAAAAAAGAAAAGTAAAAAGATCGGATCGGTTTTTATAGGTATGGGCCCGATCCAATATTTTTGGAAAACGCTAAATATCGGTACCGATCCGATCCGATATTTAATATCGGCACAGCCCTACTAATATTTTAAATATAAATGATATTTATATACCATTTTAGCCATACGACTAATACTTAAGGTGCAAAAACTCGTGAACCAGTGTTTATCCCAGTTTATGATTTTGCATAAATATAGAGAAATATGTCTATCTATAAATAAAATATCAATTTTTGATAATAGAATTATTTTCAATAATATATTTTATATCATAACAAAGGGTTATTATAAAGATATTTAATAAAATTAAAATTATGGTTTTATCTAAATTAGTTCTTGAGATATTTAAAATTAAATAATGTATTTTTGAATTTTAGCCATTATAAAGATGGCCATATCTTAGTAAACTAAGTTGGGAATTAAAATATACATTTTTATTAGTTAGTGTATATACTACTGTCATATAAATTTTAAAAAAAATTGAGGAGTCAGGTTGAATTGTCACTTGATTTAATATGGAATACAACATACACTTCTCAAATTCATTTTTTTAAAGTTAGACAGCTCTTAAAATACAAAGTAATAAGCAAATTGTAATGTATTTTCAAATAGTATAAGGGTAATTCCATGACAAATCGACCAACGATTCGGCCGACCATCTCAAAAATGAATGAAACTTGGCATGTTAGTTATTTATGTTGTAAATGTTAATAAAAACAAAATTTTAGAGTACCAGCTCAACCAGATCCAAAGATATACGCCTTTAAAGTCAAAAAAGTTATTTATGTTGTAAATGTTAATAAAAACAAAATTTTAGAGTGCCAGCTCAACCAGATCCAAAGATATACGCCTTTAAAGTCAAAAATCGCGAAGTGCTTGATTTCATCAAATCTTGTTATTTTAAAAAATACTTAAGATAGAGCTACAAATTATGTATAATTTTATAGCCCTTAAAATTTTACGTTGGAAAATATTTTAAAAAAATTCAAAATTTCAAGTGTTTCCTTATTTCCAGTAAAAATAAAAAATTAACATTGTTAGGAAGGGATTTTTTTTGGTGTTAATATTCACTAAAAATGTTTATTACCTTTATATTAAACGATTTAATAAAAAATCTCAATAGCCATTTTTGTTTTTTTAATTTTATTTGAATTTTTATTATTTTTATAAATTAAAAAATGCAATATAGATGGCGTTATATTATATTTTTTTATAAAATGTAATTTTTAATAAAAATATGAATAGTATTGTGATTAAAATTAAAAAATTAATCGAGTATAATCAAGAATGATGTCCTGGGGCGATATGTAAGCAGGCAGCTGATATAGATATGATTTTATTAGGACGCTATATTGTAAAATAAGCATATTTTAAAATTTTATACACAAACAATATAAAAAAAAATACCTCTTGTTTTAATCTTATCTCAGAATTTTTTGAGACGATAATTTTTAGGTACGTCCTGTCACTGCAATAGAATCTACTACTGTTATTATTTGATTAATGTAACCATATCTTTTCCACAATTGAGGGGTAAAAGAAGGATGGTGATGGTCCATGGGGATATAAAAAGGAAATATATATCTTCTCAGTAATTTCATTCTTTTTTAGTACTGTGGCTAACCACCAAAAATCGTCATAAACACATGTTACAAATCCTTTAATATCAGCAAAAGACAAATTATCGGCATTTGAGATATTGTTAATTTGAAAGTCCATTGCATATGAATATATTTTTGATCTAAGTTTACTTAAACTCAAAAGAAATACAGCATGTATTTACCGAGTTGGAATGGGACGAGCTAAATTGAATCTTTCTCGTAGTTTAATCACTTGTAAATTGTATTGTTCGCTGGTTATATATGTAAAATTTATTAATAGCATGTTTTGTTTTGCAAATTGATATAAATCAACTGGCGTTAAAATGTGTCCAGAACTGATGAGCTGAAGGCTTGAACGCGCTGCTAATCTTTTTAATGTTCCGCCAAGGCCGTCTCATGGACCTTTTCCATGGAATATAACTGAAAAATGCAATTCAGCTGCTACACCAAAATCTGATTCATGATAACAGATTTATAAAAAATTTACTGTTTTTATATTGTGCAGCTGATCCGTCAGAGCAGTAATATATTTTATTTGGCTTTTTGCTGAATTGATTGGTCAAAAATTTATAATTTTAGTCTGGTATAAATGTGCTGCTACATTATGTTATCATATAATTAAGGTTTTCTATATTGCCCTTATTATTATAATATGCTATCATAGGATGGATAGTGGCTTGATTATTATTCCAGTGGAATCCTTAACAGTGTCTTGAATTATAAATGCATAATTTTCAGAGAAATCACAAATTACCATAAATTCATTTGGTTGTAAAAAATGTTTGTTTTGAAATATATGATGATTGATTGGTAGCGATGTAGGAATAAAAAAATAAAATAAGCTGATAAAATCGCTATTTTTAAATAATAACGATAGTAGATCCACAACAATGAAAGGATATATCTACAAATTATGGCCTTAGGAATTTCTATTAATAAGCGCAAAATAATAATAGTTTGAATATAAAATTTTAAAATATGTATATTTTTTTACAATATAGCATCAATAAAATAGTATCTGTATGGGCTGCCTGCTTACATATCGCCCCAGGACATCATTCTTGGTTATAATCAATAAATTTTTTAATTTTAATCACAATACTATTCATATTTTTATTAAAAATTATATATTATAAAAAAATTAATATAACGCCATCTATATTACATTTTTTTATTTATAAAATAAAAATTCAAATAAAATTAAAAAAACAAAAATGGCTATCGAGATTTTTTATCAAATCGTTTAAAATAAAGGTAATAAACATTTTTAGTGAATATTAACACCCAAAAAAGATATTTTTTAATTTATTTTAAATACTTTCCAACGTAAAGTTTTAAAATGATATATAATTTGTAACTCTATCTATAATATTTTTTAAAATAACAATCACGTACTTTGTGATTTTCAACTTTGAAGGCGTATGTATATCTTAGGATCTGGTTGAGCTAGCACTCTAAAATTTTGATTTTATTAACATTTACAACATAAATAACTAACATGCCAAGTTTCATTAATTTTTGAGATTGTCAGCCGAAAATCTCGTTTTTTTGGTCGATTTGATGTGGATTTTAATGTACAGGCTGGCTAATTAAAATTTAAATAAAATAGAGAATGCTAAACCCTGCCTAAATTTTTATGTTTTAAAGCCTTCTAGCCAATTACATAAAAAAAATTTAATATAAATTTCCAGGGCTGATCCATTAGAAATTTTTTTTTAATTTGCCTGGCCCAGCCCACAGGCTTTGGATAGGTCCATTGCAAGTATCTATTTTTTACTAATATTTTTACTTTAAAAAAAAATAGATTAATTAACATATCAGTTGAAAATCATATCCATATATGTAATTAATATCTAAATTGAAAATAAAAGACAAAATAATAATTATAATAATGATAATATTATTTAAATAACCCTAACTATATAAAATACTATGATATTTTGGTATGCTTTACTTAATTTTTTGTAGGTATTTGTGATATTTGGAAATTGCAATGACCTTTTGGTGGGGTGCATAGTAATGGGTGATGGGGATTCAGCTTTACAAATTGATTTATGTCTGGTGTTACATGAAACTGATAATGTAGACAAGGATTCCTTGTCATTAATTGTGCAATATATAATAATTTGAATAATATTTAAAAAATATTAAGATTCATTATAATGGACTTAAAGTTTTGAATAAAAGTGATTACATTATCTGTTTTTGTTACAATAAAGCTTTGAACTGAATTTCCACTGTTATTTATTGTGATTTTATTATTAACACTAGATATAATATCTTTTGAAGGGTATTGTATGTGTTCCAACTTTAATTTATTTCTTCCTACCCATTCATCCAATCTTTTATTATCTATTCAATTGTAATATAGTCGTGTAAAAAAAATATTACTCACAATCTATATAGTGGACATAATAGTATTCAGTATCCTCTTCTGACTTTTTAATGCTTAGGATCTCTGCAAGAACTAAATGTGTAATAAAATTCTATTCTAGTTAAAAATAATGGTTACCCCATTTATGAGATCCTGACATCAAAACAGGCATTTTGCATCCCTCAACAACATTAACCTATTTGGGTTTATTAAAAACGTAATAAAAATATGTTTTAACTTCGAATTTAATTCTAACCATTTTTAGAGAAATTAATGTATATTTTATAAAAGATTTATTGACACCTTTCATATAGGTCAAATTTATATACACCATATCTGAACATCAATAATATTTTATATAATGTTATTTTCTTAGTACTAATGGTAGAGACACAGTGGAATAGAAGGGATTAAATATTGAACCTCTTCCAAAAATTTCATTTGGTTTGTAAACTCAGTTTTTTTGATGAATTTTATGTTGTTAAAAAGCCTGATTCGGGTCGATTTTAAAAAACGTTTCTTTCTTTCTTTCTTTCTTTCTTATGCGGGCATAATGTTATTTTATCTAAAATTTAGTTGGGCCGTTTAGAAAAACAGACCCAAATCGAGCTTTTAAACAACACTGGGTAAAGAAGTAAATAGAAGACAGGAACTAAAGCGTACTAGATACTTAGTTATTCTATATTTCCCATTATGGCATGATGCAAATTTTGGAAATTTTTTCTTTAGACTGCCTACTAAATGGATTACAATAATATACAATTAAGTCCTAAAGCTTATAGTGTTGTTAAAGTCGAGGTCTCATAACTCAATTTTTATTTTGTTTCTCAAAATATTAAAATTTTTTTACCTATTTTGTTGTCACATCAATTCGGCGCTGCGCCAATTCATCGCGGCCCAGCGTATCGTCAATTCAACGCAGTTACAAGCGGTTCGCATCTAAAAGAGTTGCTTTTGTTAGTATAAAACCAAAGAATGATAAAATAGAAGTCTTCTTGATTTGGTCCTATTAATTATTTCTTAAATTTTTTTACAAATCTGTTTTATCAAATTGTGTAATATCAAAAAAAAATTAATAATATAAATTAATCTAAGAATTCTTTGGTGGATCAATTTACCATGTTATAAAGTATGCTGATTAGTGTTGTTAAACGGCCCGATTAAGATTTTAGCCAAAATAATTTTATATGAGCAGGATTTTGCACATAGATGGTAGAAAAGTTTGGATCTCTATCTCAAATCGTAAATATTATTTTAGCTAAAATCTTAATCGGCTGTAATTAAAAATAGACCCAAATAGAGCCCTTTAATAATACTATTATTAATCCAAAATATTCAAACTATTTTTAGAATTGTTTGTAAGGGATTAACAAAAGGTAAGTATTTTCTAATCATATCTAACGATTGTATTAGTTTATAAATTTGTTATTGACTTAAAAATATTTTTCCCTTTAAGATTGATCCATTTTATAGATTTATTAAAAATCCTTAAAATAATTCTCTTAATCATTTAAAAAAAATAAATAATGTTTAAATAAGGGGTTTGAATCGAATCGCGAAACCGAAACGAACACTTATATATTTCTGAACTGTAACCGAATCGTTATAAATAAAATAAAATATAGAGAACTGAACTGTTATAAATATTTTTGAACATATTAAACCAGGTTCATAACGGTTTTTAAAAATAATTATTGTAAATTATTAGCCTAAATTTAATATTTATAATCCTTTAAGGGTATTAAAATTAAAATTTTTATACTTAAATCGCCATTATCTTCATATCAATGAATACCAAATTTTTGTTTTTACTTTATATTCTCAATTTAATAGAGATTAGGCAAATTTAATTAGATTAGAAATAATCTTCATGATTAAATTAAATAATAAAATAAAAATATAACTTAAAAGGATTTTTCTCTAAGATTAATATATATGGTTTATGATTATATTTTTTTTAAATCAAATTTATAAAAGCCGAAACGAACCATTATAAATGTAACCCGAACAGATATGTATTTCTTCAAAAAAAACCGAAATGTAACAAATTATAAAATTTTAAACTGAAACCTTAAAGAAACGGGAAGATAGATCCCAGAAGTTTTGGAAGTTTCAAAAATAATAAAAATTTACGTTACTAAAAAATTATATAATATAATGATTCATTCATAATTATTCGTGTTTATTTTCTAAATTCCAATTTGTTTCACATAACAAATAACACATTATTTAATATTATGTGATTTCAAGAATAAGATTATGAAAAACTTTTAAAATCAAATTTGAGATAATTTTAACTGTTTAATTATAAACCTACTAAATTTTAAAATTTCATATAATAATAATTATGTTACCAAGTTAGCTTTGAGCTTTTCGATATTCAAATTTATATTAACACCACCAAACTATTACAAATTATAATCTTTTAGAAAATGTCTTAATAAAAAAGTACAAGTGTAAAAATTGACATAATCTATATTATAATTTTCCGATGTCATCATTACGTCATCCCTATGTCATGTCATCGTTACAAAATGTCAACGGTATGTATTTATTTTTTGTTTATCTTTTTTGGGAATAAAATATTTTTAAGAATAACATCCACCGTCAACAGCCAAGCGACGCAAATGAAAAATGTAGTAATCTGTTTGACAGGGGCGTCGCTAGCCTTTACAATCTCAGGGGGCTCAACCGCCCCCATAACCCCCATTTGCGAGCATTCGGCTCTCTTTTGATCGGCCTTCGGCCGGGTTTTATATTAATATATTATACTTTTTAATAATTTTCTAACTCTGAATAATTATTATGAATTCTATATTTTAAATTATGCATTTAAAATTAACTATATGACATTTCTAAAAATATTATTTTTAATACAAAATCTATTTATTACAGTATAAAATATTTTAGATTGCTGATATAAAAAATTTGCGTCTCAAGAATTACAAGTGATAAAAAAGGTTAATTAATTCATACATATGCCTCAATTGATAATGGTGTTTAATAACTACATATTATAAAATTAGCAACTTACATTGACAAAAGGGCAAGAAACTAATATAACACTCTGTTACCATTTTTAGACAATGTTTTATAGAATGGACTAATAAGGAAAAATTTATAGGCCTAACCAAATCAACAATTCTTGGAGAAGACAATCCAAATCATAAAACTATATGGCGGTTAGAGCTTCCTCTTAAATGACATGATGGAAGCTAGATAAGTAATTGATAAAAAAATTGTGAGATATTAAATTTCTAAAAGATTATCTTCCATTTTTAATGGTATATAAACAACTACACAGTTGGCCATTATTACTTATAAAATATGCAATCATATGCTCTCAGCAGCTGTAATAATAATTTTAAATTACATAGCCACACAAATAATATGGTTAATTTGCAGTCATAGCCATGACATTCACTATATTATCTTATATCAGAATTTATTATGCTAGATAAATTGATAAAACAAAAACACTAAAAATATTTAGAAGAAATTATTCAAATGTATTGAAGCCTTAAGTTATTTACAAGGCAGGGATGTCATATTAGAAATGAAACATTTTGTAACTATAAAATAAGAACCAGAGTGATATGATATGATAAAAGAAATTAATTAAGATTTTATATAATATAATCGCATAACCTCTAGTTGGTATATTATATCTTAAAATAGTAGTAATATGTATTAATATCAAAAATATACTAATATTAAAAATTTAACTCAAAACTGTTTTTCAAATAGAAAAAAATAGCTTTCCTAAAAACGAATAAAAAATAGAAGAAGAGTTATCTAATTTATTACATAGATTCTGAAATAAATAATATAGTGTTAAATTTTTTAAATATTATAAATAAATAGATGGCGTTAAATATATGTCTTATATTTATTATCAAAACATTTATTAGTAAAATTTATTAAAATATTAACTGTAATATATTATATAACTGTCAAATACGTCTGTATAAGTGGTGTTTAACCTAATCTTTTGTAATCAATTATATCTAATAGAGAATTATACACTATATGTTTACTTACTTTTTATAAATAAATCTCTTATACTTATTTGGATTTGGACCTTGAAAATAATTTTAAGAAGAGGCATGGTAATTAAATTTAAATAATATAGTTGATTAGTGATTTTGAACTTGGCTAATTACAATATTAAAAATATTAATTTTCAATTAATATATATTTAATAAGGGTTATATATTAATTTAAATAATAAAAGTCAATAAAGCTTCAACTGTTAATGCTAAATTAATATTTAGTGAGTGACATTATATTCTATTTTTAACACAGAATTTGATTGCAAGCTGACATAGTGAAAATATAATTTATAAGTATTAATCTAATCTAATAATTAAAATAGTATTTATTTAAGAATAATTTAGATGGACTTATTAATTTTTAAATTATTAAATTGAATCTATATATTACTCAATAAAATTATAAAAGAAATCATTCAGTGGGCAATCAAAAAAATTTATTTAGTTCAAGGGGATATTAAGGAGCCATCAAAAAAAATCTTTGCTTCAGGGGACTATTCAAATTTTTCAGGGGGATCGAGCCCCCGCGCTTCCCCCTAGCGACGCCACTGCTGTTTGACCGTTGTAATATTGGAAGAAATTATCGTTTGGTAAACCAGATCATTAATAATTATAAAATATTTATATGGACATCAGAAAGATTACTAAATACAGAATCAGGCAAATTTTTTTAACTATTTTTTTTATTTACAGATTCCTTACTAACCTTACAACTCCTACCACTAATATTTCTTTCTAACATCCTCCAACCACAATTAATAATTTAAAAATTGGTTTTCTACGATTAACAATCCAGAAGATCAAATAAATAAATTTATTGATCATTGAACATTTTCAATTGTAAAACACCTCTCATTAAATCTTTAACTTCTCAACAACTAAACACACATGATCCTATTCCCTTAAAACAAGATGCTATCATTAAAGCTATAAACAGCCTCAAAAATCAAAAATCCATGTCAGACAATCTTTCAAATGAACTATAAAAAAATTCCCAATTACAATATCAAAAATTCTATTTCCAGTTTCAAACAAGACATGATTAACCCTTTAGGTTCCCTCATAAAATTAATATGATGCAACACGATATTTAGTAATTTTTTTATTGATTCTAGTATAATATAATATAAAACACACAAAAAAAGTTTTTTAGATTCAAAATGGTGGCTCCCCCTGGTGGTTTTAAATTCATATCATTGACACCTTATGGAAACTTTCGAAACAGTTTCTATTTTTATTTAGACATAGTGGTACGTTGCATGATTTGCACGACCACCTTGTTCTTCTGGGATTTAACTTTGTACTACAGAAGGTACACCTTCGTGAGGTTCCTGCCTGAGGTTGATGAGCTGAGTTTTTTAGTCTTCTGGAAGGATATAAGGTTTATTATTTTTTCTTTGCATTGATATATAATTATTATCATTATGAATATTATCATCCCTATTAACATTTTTACAGAATGCCAATTCGCTAGCAATTATTTGTCTTCGGAATTCTTTCGATGAGAGTTTATTATCTGTAAGAATATTGTATATTATGAATGAATTGATAATCGCCGCATCTATCAGCCAAAAGAATATTGGTAGCCACCATTTTCACCACTTTCGCGAAATTTCATATAAAGACTTTAAATGGTCGAAATGGTCAACAGACCCCATAATTTTATTGTACATCTTTATCATTATTGGACATTTTACGTCAAATACTTCCCCTTTTTTATTTTTTCTCTTCACAGTATACACTGATCTCGGATCAATATAATTGGACATTATAAATACGTCACGATTATCTCGCCATTTAATTATACTTATATTATTTTTGTCACTTCTCCAGTCAAACTCACCTCTTTTTAATTTTGTCGATTCATAAATCATAATCATCTTCGGAATCAGTGGATGAGTTGTCTAACGAAGAACCTTCAGATGGAATGTCCAGATAATCATCCATATATATAACAAGCTAAAATTATTGCGAAATGAGTTGGCAAAATTTATCAATTATTTAAAAAAATATAAGTGGCTAGTTTAATATACCACATTAAAAAATCAAAATAATATATAAATATTATTTATTTGAGCAAAAATAAATATTAGAAAGATAGATAAAATAGTGAGGAATATATATATTTAAAAATATTTGATAAATATACTTACTTATAATTAAAATTGGAATTTTAAGAAAAATCACCTTAAAAAAAGTATTTTGAAATAAAGGCGCGAAAAAAAAATTAAAAAATAACTCCTCCACAAATATATGAAAAAGAATATCTTTTAATATATATTCATGGTGGTTTCATTTTATATGATCAACTCCTTTAGAAGATATAAAGGTTAAAAGGTGGTTTTATATTTGCACTACCGCAACCGAAAGGGTCAGCAAGCGTACCTTGTGAACCTGCAAATCAACTATCATTAATTTACCCAAAACACTAAGTATAAACCTTTCATCATCAGCTTCCACAGGCCGAAGGCAAGACTATGATAAATTAATTATAAATTTAACTATCTCCGTGCTTGGGAAAAATTTTTCAAAATAATTATGGGGTTGGCTGGGCTTGGAAAATTTTCCTCAATAATATAGGATCGGACCTAGCTTGGGAAATTTTTTTTAAAATTATGGGTTGAACCATGCTTAAGAAATTTCAAAATTATGATGGGTTGTGCTGGGTTTGGGAAAAATCAAAATTATTAAGGTCTTGGACACTTGGAATTTTTTTAATATATAATATGGGCGACATTGGACTAAAAATTTTTTTTGCAGGCCTGGACCGGGTCTGATCAAAAAAAGAACTATGAAGATCTATGATTAATGCATTACGATTTTTTAAATTTTATTTAGGTTTTGAACTACAAAATTATTATGGTCTTAACAGGGCTTGAGAAAATTTTTTCAAAATATTGTGGGCTTCTTGGGATTTTTTAATATTAAATATTAGCCATATGTCATCAATTATTTTAACAAAGAATTTTGATATGGGTCTCAAATAAAAGCTAATTTAAATATATTTTTAATCAAAAAATAGTATTCACTTAGTATTAAATGGTTGAACTTGGCCTTGGGGGGAAGGGGGGGGGGTAAAAAGTTTAAAAATTGGATATGGTTTTTAAATAAAAGGTAACATCAATTGTAAAAGAACGAATAAAATTATCACTAGTATATAATAAAATTGAAATAAATTAGATATTTTTAGAAAAACGTTCCGAAACATGGAACGGTATGGGAAATTTTCTGGAAGTAACAGGAAAGCAAAAATACCTTTGTTCCGGGTCCCGATTTAGATATTTTATTCCGTACTCACTTCAAAAAAAGAGTTTAACATATATTACATAGTGGACATACGGGTATCACACAAATGAAATCCATTAAGAAACATTATATATGGTGAGAACAATTAGATAAATATAAAAACTAGTTAACAGCTATATAGAATAACAAAAACAACGCAGAAATATACCAGGTGCCGTATACCCGTGATCAGCCATCGAAACCCTTGGAAAGGGTACATTTATTTGTCGGACCAATGGACGGATTTTATTTGATGGCAGGAATCGATGCGTACTCAGAATTAAAGATACAAGTAAGAATTTGATATGATATTCCATATAAAATTGTAACCGACAATGGTCCACAATTTATTTTAAATGAATTTGAAAAATGGTGTAAATACAAGAATATACAACATATAAAAATTACAGCGTATCATCCGAGAAGTAATGGTTTAGTAGAAAGATACATTGAGACTATCAAAAATCGATATTTCACAAATAGAGAACAAACGAATGACGGGGAAAAATGCATAAATGAGTGCTATTTACGTATAGAAATTCAGAACACTCATCATCAGAACGAATACCAGCAAAACTATTTATGGGAAGGAGACAATACATATTGGACTGGGTCAAACCTTCGATTATTGAAAAATTTGAAACTTCCTAATGTAACTTAACCAGTTAGACAAAGGAATTCATAGATATTTTGGAGAAAACTATTTAGTTTGGATAAAAAACACAAATTAAAAAGGATGGCACGAAGGAAAGATAATAAATCAACAAGCTAAATTCTCTTATAATGTAAAAGAAAAAGTACGAAAACACGCCGACCAACAAACAAGGGAAGAACTAGTTGAACCCGAATCTAATAATAGATGACAATATAAAGTTAGAAGATAAAACAGTAAAAGCAACTAAACTAAATCAAAAAGGAATTCAAAACCGATATCCAACAAGGGACGAAAGCAAACAAAAAATTAATAGACTAACTTGAACTTGGTGGGAAATATGATATGTTTTATATTATAAAAGGTTATCAACGTTATTTGAATAATATATTTTATGAAGTTTCTTTAGATATAAAAATCAATATTAAAATCAAAACAATATCATTACCTAAAATATCTATAAAATTAAACTGACTTATATACATCTATAGAGTTAACTAGCCAACAATTAATATTAATTTAACTAATTTAAAAATTAATTGCATATAAGAAAATTAATATTATTATATATAATAATTGTTTTTTTTTACATTAATATCCTTTTATGTATGGTGAAATCTTAAGGTCCCTGGTATAATTTTTATTTTTCTCATATCGGCACCACTTTTCAAAGTCATGGTACTGGACTGAATGAATTAATTTAAACAAGATTTAAATAATTAACTACCAATTAAATAATTAAATTAAATTCAAATTGAACTTTATTTTAAGAAAAAGCATAATTTTTTATATAAAAAACGAATATTATATATTATAATCTTTTTATTACCATTTGCATATTCATCCACATGATACGAAATATAAAACTTATAATGTACTCCAAAAATTATGCATAAAACAAAAAAGTAAAAATGAAAATTATCCACACAAAGTAAAACCTTAAATTAACATATTAAAAATCCAGCATAACAACATGTAAACTAGAGATCTGCAAAAGTAGGCCCGGCCCGTACTATTTTTTTAAAAAAAATGGGTTCGGGCTGGGTCGGATTTAATATTTTTTAAGAAAATTTGGGCCGGGTCTTAAATTTTTTTTCTTCTAAATTTATCATTTTTATGTTTAATTTTTTATGTAAAATAAAAATAATTGATTTTTTTTCTATATTTAAATAAATTCGGGCCGAGCCGGGCAGGTAAATTTTTTCAAAAAATATTTCGGGCCGGGTCGAGCTTGAAAAATTAGGTCCGATGAAGATCACTAATGTAAACTATGTGTAAACATATTTATAAATAAAATTTAAAATCCGTGTCAAAAATTTTTTTTAAAGTTAAAAATAGTCGCCCTCCTTTGGCGGCGGCCATGGATCTTTAAATAATTTAAAAACTAACTCATCTAAATCTCAGAGTGTCAAGGTATATAACAAACAAATAATTTGCACTTTGACAAATTATTTAACCGTAACATAAGTATTAGCAACGACACTGAACTTAGAGAAACTTCTAAATATAAACAACTTATAATAAATATTAAATCCTTTATAGATATTCATTTTATAATGATATATAATTTTTATATCGCTACATTATTTTGCAACTTTTATATAATTTATACATAGAAAAAATAAAACGTTCATCTTTTATTAGTTTTCCCCATCTTGCGTTTGCCACAAAACAAATGTTTAGGCTTAAGATCGTATACGTGCCTGTCACTCTCCCCCACCCTTCCATCCATTATGAAAGGGCTTAACGATTTCTGGGCCATTCTATCTAGTTTTGTTTTCATCTTGTAAATTTTATTAATTTGTAAGGTAAAATATATACATATTCTTAAATTTTATGATATCTAAATAAATATTCCACAAAAATATTTTAAAAATATTTTATAAAGAAAATCTGATAAAAATAAACTCATAAATTTCAAATAAATCTTTTTATATTACTTGCATATTCTGAATTCCCATAAGATTCCTGGGTGTAGTCGTACTACTTTTAACCAACCCTGTAATAGGATCTACTCTGGCACGTTTTATTAAACTTTTATTTTGAATATTTATGCTACCATCACAGGAATTTAAAGAAGCGTTACTAGCATATCTTTTAACTATAGCATTTTTCTTGAGGTTTTTCTAAACGAATACAAATATAAAAGCCCAGATAAATCAGGTTCCATGTCAATTCAGCGAAACTTTTATCGCGAAACACTTTTTCGCGAAACTTTTATCGCGAATGTCATTTATCGCGAATGAATTTTATAGCGAAACTTTTATCGCGAATCCATAATAGCGAATACTATTCCGCGAATGCAATATCGCGAAACAAATATCGCGAATTTTTCATAGCGAAACCTTTATCGCGAAACCTTTATAGCGAATACATTACCGCGAATACAATATCGCGAAACAAATATCGCGAATTTTTTATAGCGAAACCTTTATCGCGAAACCTTTAATGCGAATACATTACCGCGAAACTTTTATCGCGAATCAATAATCGCGAAAATTTTATAGCGAAATCTTTATCGCGAAACCTTTAAAGCGAATACATTACCGCGAAACTTTAATCGCGAATCAATAATCGCGAATCAATAATCGCGAAAATTTTATAACAAAGTTATTATCGCGAAACATATATCGCGAAGATATTATAGAGAATTTAATATCGCGATAATTGCTAATAATGACTAATTTATTTTGAATCACTTTTTTATAATTAAATTAAATAATATTTTTTTAAAATAGGTTGAAGATTGATTCACAATGATAGTTTGTAATTTTCTTTTAACCTTAAAAAATTTATATAATGATTAATAAACTTAGATCTGGTTTATGAAATTTGTTATTGAAATACACTTTTTCGCTAGCCTATCCTTTTCTTCGAAGTTCTTATTTTATAATAATCGCGCACAAGGAACTCAGCTTTATCAATATATTAATCATTGAGTTTATTAGTTAAATCTTGATATTTACTGGCGAAATTGATATCTGGGTAGCATTCCTATTTAATGTCTTGTGACCTAATTAGTGTTGTTAAACGGCTCTTTTTGAGCCGATTTTTAAAAACGACTAACTCAATATTTCATCCTGAATAATATTAAGCAAGACTGAAGATTTTGTTTGTAGAAGGAACAAAGGTTTGAACATCTATTAAAAAATCTCAAGGCTTAGTCAATATTTTTCTGGCTAAAATATTGAGTTAGCCGTTTTTAAAAATCGGCTCAAAATAAGCCGTTTAACAACACTAGACCTAATATTTATAAATTTATCAATCAATTTTGGCCAGGGTTAGCAGTCAGTCAATTAACCAGTCAAATGACTAGATTTTGACGGGTCAATTAAACGGGGGAATATTTGACCTGGTCATATAGTCAAATATTCTATAAGATCTGAATATAAAAATATGTTTGAAAAAGAAAAAACGATATAAATACATGTGATCACAATACTGCTATTTATTGAGTTCCTAATATTAAGGAGAGCATTTTACTCATAGTGAATTTAATGAAGTATGTAATATAATAAGAGAATTAGGCATACTACAGGTGGTGATCAAAATATTTCAAGTTATATTTTACGATCTTTATAGATATCTTTTTATCTTTTCTGTTTATTTGGGAAGGGGGGGGGCGTGATTTAGTATAATATCTCGGCATGAATCTCAATTAATTTAAATATAATATTTTGATTTGGGTTCTTATTGAGTAAATAATTTTAAAATATAATAAAAATATAGCCACACTTATAAAAATTAACAAATAATTAATGACATAATTGATAAATTATAACTATTAAAAAAAAAGTATTGCCGAAATTTAAAAAAAAAAAATTTCTCGTCTGGCTGGTGCCATTCCCTTGGTTATAAATTTTAAATATTTTCGCCATTCTTTCCTCTTTATTTCAGAGTCTTATAAAATACAATAATAAAAATTTTGTTTGTTTTTATATTATAGGCTCAAATTTTTTATATTTGCATTATTTTTTGTGACAAAAATATAGGAAGGTCTACTTTGGTATAAAATTTAGCAAGCTACATACCGACTCATTCGTCAAGATACAGATTTTATGAGGATATTTACAAATTCTTTTATATGTGATCTTTCTCTACCACATCAATCCTACGATTAACATTTCAAAAATAACTACCTTTCATCATGCATTATAAAATTATTTTAAATTTCATATTCCTACCCCTTGAGTCATATAGTTGTTTTCCCTTACAAATATGATCAGTTTTGATGAGCAACATTATTAGTAAAATATTATTATAAATACTCAAGTATTACACTAAAGGGCAAAGTTTAAAATGAGGATTACATTTTCCTTTTATTCATTAAAGCATGTAAATTTTTTTATATTGGGATGTTTTTGTCCGATGTTTTTTCCCATGGTTATTTTTAACCAGTCTTTGTCCAAATCAGTGATTCTTTTAAAATTTTACACTTCAGTTATATATTTAACAAACAAACTATTGGCTTAGACGATATGATATGACAATGCTCTACTTTTTTCTTCACATTTACAATAAATAAAAAAATCATTTTTTAAAAAACTTTTTATAATTAAATTTATTTTGTAAGGATATTTATTCTAAATGTGAATTAGATATCAAAAAATATGGCCTAAAGGGATCTATTAAAATAAGATAATACGCTATACCATTTCCTATTTTAACTTAAGAAAAGGACTGTGGAGAATATAATCAGGGGCTTGTATACATATCTATAAATGATATCAACCCTCTCAAAACTTTTAACCACCTACCAAATAAAAATAATTAAAAAAAGAAAATACAATTCATCCCTTTCCAATTTTATTCAAATAATGATAATTATTTCATAACTAACTATCCCCCCTCTAATTTCAATGATGCTCCTCTAATGAGTTCGCAGTTCAAGTTACGATGGAAAAAAAATTGCTTGAATTAATTTTGTTATATTATAGCTCTAAAATTCCTTAAGGTTCATAATTATTTAAATATTGGCATTTTGTTAACTTTTTTAAATATACTATATTCTCATTTGATTTGATAACAATGTAATTGAGCTTAGCTGGCTTCATGTGCATGTCATTGAATAATAAAACTAAAATTAAAATACATTTTGGTTATATTTTTTTAAAAAATATTTTTATTTACCCGCGAAGAGTGGCATTAAAAATTAAAAAATCTCGCTGAATAATAATAAATCTAAATTTTTTTATGAAAACTAGATTTAAGAAATTTACTTAAGAAATGTATATGAGATGTCTTACCTTTTCACTTATTACAAAGAACTTATAGGAATTTTGAGTTATTTTCTCTAAAACATCCACCAATAATTTTAAAATCATTCTTCGCTAGGCTTTTTAATTGTATGCGGTTTTAGATGAAATAATTAAAATGCTAATGTAATTATAAACGATTTATTATTAATTATGGAGAATATGGTAAGAATAACTATTATCAGCTTGTATTTTACAGTTTATAAAATCGTTTTTAAATAAGTGTTCTAAACAGTGGCGTAGACAAAGGGGAAGAGCTAAACCTCCCTCACTGGGAAATATGATTAATGACAACTTTCTTGTAAATTGATAAAACTCCTTCCATAGTCTAAAGAAAATTCTTATTTAAAAAACAACATAAAAAAATCTTACAAATCTAGGAATAAACAATACCATCATTTTATTTTATAATCCATTTTCACAATTTTTTTTACAAAATATAATTATAAAACGGAACGCTTCTCAGAGAGGTTAAACGCACTTAATATTACGTTATTAAACAATAGCTCAACCTATTCACTTGATGAAAATAATTAGCTATCCTAATTGTTTTAAATTTTGCCATAACCAATCCTTCTCATTTTGATATAACATTTCCCAAAGTTGCCACAAGTTATGTCATCTGTCGGAAAAGTTTCCAAGCTTAATTTTCTTTTGGCTAAAATATCGAGTATCTTAAAATCCTCATATTTTGAAATAGGAAAAAAATTGATTTTATAAATAAATATAGTAATATTTTTTTAGGATATTTCATTTAATTTTTTTTATTATAATTGCCTTCTTTAGATTCTTTGTTTAATCTTATAATGTTTCAAATTTTTGAAATTCTAATACTTTTTGGTTCATACTTAAAGGTTTGCTATTGTCTATTTCGCTTATTAAAACTAGTTTTGTTTATTGACTGGAAAAACTGATTGATGTAATACTAAGTAATAATCTGGCATTTCATATACTAGAGCTTACCTAAAAATATTTGTTTTCGCATGTTGTTAATCTTGGCAATTTTATCTTATTTTGTCAGTAAAAACTATCTACCAAATGAATTGAAGAATCAATGTAATAATTATTGATTTAAGTTCCAGATTAAATGCTTCCAGAAATTTGGTTGGTTTTACGCTTTAATGGGAGATATAGATTTTATTTCTCTTATAGTACGATTACCTTTTTGTGTGTGAAAAAAATGACTGAAGAATTAATAAATATTAGCGCAAACCAGCTATTTTCCATTCTATCAATAATGCCTGAATTAGGCAATTTTTCTTATTTTGCTAATAAACTTTTTCTTTATACTGTCTAAACGAATTAAATTATAATTAATAAGGAACATCGATGAAATTTTCGGAATAAATTATTTCAGTTGCTTAAATCATAGATTTGCCAAAATTTTGTTACTAATAGTTTTTTTCCTTTTACTAGCTATTATACTCGTTTAAGTACTCAATTGGTACTAATAAAGCAAGAAATATTGATATAATTTACAATTAGTTCGTAGAACTATACAGTCGCCAAATTTAACGGCGATGATATTAAGTATATAAATCCTGTCTATGCCACTGTTCTGATACACAAGTTGAAGCGATAAAGAATTTGCTCAGAATTATCAAATTATTATGGTAATTATAGATATAAATATCCTAAACATGATTTAAAGAAGTTCGAATATTATGAAAGAATTAAATAAAAATGTAAATATAAGCCTTCCTGATATTGGAATATCTTTATTTTCTTGATTTGGAACATTTTCTATTTATTTTCAAAAAATCCTAATTTATTTTAATTCCATTTTATTAGAAAAAAGGAGTAAAAGTGCTTACAAATTGAGAAGGAGCGTTTAGCGGTGCTTTCATAAAAACGCCTGATTTAAATTGAACTGGTATTATTTTATAAAATGATGAAAACTATTATACGTTTTTTTAATTTTTATATTGTTTAGTTAGACTTGTGAAATCAGCAAAAATAAAAAACTAAAATAACTAAAGATCTAATGATTTATTTCCATAATTTATTCTTCATAAATATTACAATGTAATCCAATAGAATATTTTGAATTTTTTTTTGATAATCATAACTTTGCAGTTATTTCTATTTATTAAAATGCGAAAAGAAGAAAAAGGAGAGGTCAAAATATTCAAATAAATTAGTTACTATTATATCAGAAAGTTATATCGATGTGCATTATCTAAAAATTATAATTAGGAGGCATTAATTATCAGTAAAATCTTCTATAATTTTTAAAAATAATCTGAGAAAATCAATAAAAAATTCTTAGCTTTCTATATAATTTTTCATCTAGATTGGAAAAAAGGTATATCAGAAAATTTTCTTTTAATGACATAAAGCACATGGGGGGGGGGGGTTAACTTATTCTGGTAAAAACTTAACCCAAAATGTCCCCTCCATACTTACAACCATGAGTGAGTGAGACCAGAAAGAGTAATGTATTTTGTATCACATCAGATAAATGTTTCATGCTTATTAAATAAACAATACGTAATAAAATATTCTTAAAACATTCGCGTTTATGATTTAAGAAACTTCGGTTGGTAAATTGATATTGAATATATCAATTTCACTTAAAATGAATTCGTAATTTTCGAAGTCATGCGCTCGCTATAATAATTTCGTGCACATACATTCGCGGTAAAAAATTCGCTATAAATAGTTGGCGATTAAAGTTTTGCTATAAGTTTCGCTAAAATTTATTCGCTCTAAAGTATTCGCGGTTTAGGTTTCGCGGAAATAAATTCGCGATAATGAGTTCGCGATCAAAGTTTCGCTATAATGTATTCGCTATAAAGTATTCGCGGTTAAAGTTTCGCGGAAATAAATTCGCTATAACGAGTTCGCGATCAAAGTTTCGCTAAAATGTATTCGCTATAAAGTATTCGCGGTTAAGGTTTCGCGGAAATAAATTCGCTATAACGAGTTCGCGATCAAAGTTTCGCTATAATGTATTCGCTGTCAAGGTTTCGCAGAAATAAATTCGCGATAATAAGTTCGCGATATTGTCTTCGCTATAAAAATTTCGCGGAAAAAAATTCGCGGAATTGGTTTCGCGATATTGCCTTCGCTATAAAATTCCTTCGCGATAAACGACATTCGCGATAAAAGTTTCGCGAAAAAGTGTTTCGCGATAAAAGTTTCGCTGAATTGACCTGATACGGATAAATCATTAATATATTAATTACTTTTTTCATATATCCCGAATATAAAAGACCCAAATATTAAAATTTATATTCGATAGTTATTTATAATTATCAGTTAAAGTCTATTATTAAGTTTATATTCGTAAATATAATAAATAATGAAAAAACTAAAAGAAAAAGATAGATAGCTAAACTATCAAAATGTATAGATATCATAAAGTATTTCTGGCTTAAAAAAATGATGGTAACAAACCTAATTTGATTTATCCAAGAGACATTCATTTAAAGGCCTGACCTTGCTCTGTATTTTTTTGGGCCGGTATTAAAAAAGCAACTTATTAATTTGGTTATAAGTTTTAAAAATGATAAAAATTTACAAAATCGTGGGTTCTAAGGTGGTGAGCTCCTAGCTCGTTCATGTGTTTCATGAGGTTCTTGGGTGTCCTATCACCGGACTTCCCTTTGATATTTCGAGGTAATCGAGGTTTATTACTGCTTTTCTTAAGGCGAGTCTCTATTATACGCAATTGTTTTTTGAGGCGGATCCTTATATAAATTAATAATTTCAAAAATAATATTCGGATAGGATATATTTATCTTAATTCAAAATTATTATTTTGTGCTTCGAGCCATGTTGTTAAAAACCAGGAAATTGCCTTTATTTTATTAATTTTATTGTTGAATTTATAAATAATTATGTTAATTTGACCTACGTTTAACTTAACAAGCAATCTTTTTAAATAGTTATATCTCAAATGCAGAGTATAGCTATCTTGTATTTAAAGAGTAATTTAAGTTAAAGTTATTTATTCTTAAATTTCGATAAGGTTATGACTAGTTTTGCCCCAATGGGACTCATCAGATATGTGTTGAACTGGGATTAAAACAATAGATTAACAATTTTCTTATAAATTACGGACTCATCAGACATGTGTTGAACTGGGATTAAAACAATAATTTTCTTATTACAGGTAAATTAATATAATAAAAGCAAATAATTAAAAAGATTTAACCATATGTTTTTTATTTATATATAATACTCAAAAAATATATGACGAACAAATATATAATGTATGACAAAACAGATTTAAAAAATGCATTAAAATATAAAAAATTGGATATTTTAATTTTCGTTTTTTCTTTATGTATCCGATTTTCTATATTCCTTTAAAATATATTTAAATATAAATTATATTTTTATAAATTTACCTTAATTCAATGGTTGTCCTGATAACCATTCTCCAAATATTGATGCATTTTATTATAATAACTTGAAAAGTCATAAGGAATAGTAAATTCATTAAGAATTGATGTTACATTATGAACGATTTCGTTTCTTGTATTTGGTCGGGGATTCATTGACCTATATTTGTTTTATAATACGCCAAAGAAAATCTCTATTGGATTAAGTTGAGTCGAATAGGGGAGCAAAATTCTACTCGCACTTTAAAACTATCAATGAGGTGACTTTTATGGATGGATGCATTGTCTATAACAATAACTGCATCCCTTGGTATGATATTAATTAGTTCTATCATATATTTTCGAAATAGTAGACTATTATAAGCTAACTCGATGATGCGATAAAGTATGACACCTTCGATTCCCATAGTACAATATACTTAAATTTTTACCATTAGATGGTGGGGCTTTAACAGTTGGCATAACATTGTATGGTGCCCAGGCGTAAACAGGTACAACATGTAAATTTATGCCTGTCTCGTCTAAGAAAAATATTTTTTCTCTGGCTATATTCAATATTTTTATACAATAAGGGAGAATTGATATAATGGGAATTATTTGTAGCAGATATATTAGGTATTGAATTAGAATAAATAGGATCAGGATTTGATGTAAATGAATTTGTATTATTCGTGTTAGTATATAAAATTTGTCGTATATAAAACATTTGTGAATTAGAATATAGGGTAAATTATTTAAAAAAAAACAAACAATTAAAATAAAATAACAATATGTTTTTTTATTTTTGCACAACCCTCAAAAAATAAATGACAATCAAATATATAATATATAACAAAACAGATTTAAAAAATACATACGGTAATTTTTTTGCATTTACAATTTTTATATAATTTAATTTTTTTTATAAAATACATACGGTAATTTTTTTTATAAAATAGAGTTTAATATTTTTTTCAAATGTTTAATATACGACAAATTTTATCTAGTAATACAAATTCATTTACATTAAATCCTGATCCTGTTTTATCTAATTCAAATTCAATACCTAATATTACAAATAATTTCCATATGATCAATTCTTCCTCTGTAAGTGGTGATTCTATTATGGACAATGCATCCATCCATAAAAGCCACCTCATTGATTGTTTTAGAGCGCGAATAGAATATTTGCCACCCTATTCGCCGCAACTAAACCCGATAGAAAATTTTTTTGGAGTGTTAAAAAACAAATATAGGTCGATCAATAACCGACCAAATACTCGAAACGAAATAATTAATAATGTAAGATCAATTCTTGATGAATTTACTATTCCTTTTGATTTTTCAAATTATTATAATAAAATGCATCAATTTTTGGAGATTGGTTATCTAGGACAACCAATGAATTAAGGTAAATTTATAAAAATATAATTTATATTGAAATATATTTTAAAGGAATTTAGAAAAAGGAGAATATATATATAAAGAAAAAACGAAAATTAAAATATCCAATTTTTAATGTATTTTTAAATCTGTTTTGTTATATATTATATATTTGATTGTCATTTATTTTTTGAGGGTTGTGCAAAAATAAAAAAACATATTGTTATTTTATTTTAATTGTTTGTTTTTTTTAAAATAATTTACCCTATAAACAGGATCAGGATTTGATGTAAATGAATTTGTATTACTATATTAAATTTGTCATATATTAAATATTTGAAAAAAATATTAAACTGTATTTTATATAAAAAAATTTAAGTAATATAAAAATTGTAAATGCAAAAAAATTACATTAAAATTTTACCATATGTATTTTTGTAGTGTTTGATTTGTTATATATTAATGAATCGTCATTTATTTTTTAAGTATTATGTAAAAATAAAGACACATATTGTTTCATTCTTTTAACTTTTTGTTTTTATTATAATATCTTACCCTGTAATTAACATTTCGAATTTAGTTTCTTTGTAACATACGTATTTTTTTAATTTAAGAAAAATATTTCATATAAAGATATTAAATTTCAAGTTTTCAAATTTTTACATAAAGTTATGTCAAGACAGCTTTCTTTTCAACATGGTTCATAAGGCCTATTTTAAAAAATAAAAGTGGTTTTTGTCATTGAGATCAAAGACATAATGATATTTTTGTTTTTACGGTAAAATTCTTAATCAAATTGATTCTATCTATGAATTAAAAAACATGTTTTAAACACATACGTTTAGAATGATTTTATAAAATATAATTATTTATTCATTCATTTCTTTCTTTCTCACTCCTTCCCCCAAGTTATTTTTTTTGATCATTAAATACTTGGTTAAATTAACCGCTAGCCATTCTCGTTAGATATATATTTTTTATGGAAAAATAATAGTGCTCGCTACTCGTTAATAGAAAAATCTGTTTAATTTTTAATTTTCTTTAATAAAATATAAGATTCGTGGATTAATATAAAATCGCTAATGTGCATTTGAAGATTTTTTGAAATATTTGACAGAAATCTTTTTTGAGCTAAATTTGACCAAAAAGCTGTCGCGAGTATTCTTAAAAACTTTTTTATATTTTAATCAAATTTTTTTAAACTTTGAAAACTTATTTGGGAATAATGTTTTAATCTATTTAATTGATTGGTTGGTTTATTAAAGGGATATTGTTTTAAATTTAGAATAAAAATATCAGGTAATGGGGGAGGGAGGGGGAGGGGCATTTTTACACGTCAAAAACATAGGCGTCCTTCATGAGGACAGCAGGCTCTCGACTCCATTGACAAATTGTCCTCATAAAAAATTAGGGAAATTGTATCTCATCTAAAAAAGAAATAAAGAGAGAAAAATATACTGATTATTATTAAAACTCTTGAATCTTCAATAAAAGACTAATGTCACGACAAACTTATTTCAAACATAAAAATTGCATTCTATGAAAAAGTCAATCATCGCATTGATTATAATAATATCATCTATTTATTATCTTAAATACAAGGGTTGGCATTAAGACCGCGACTCAAATTTTATGCAATTACTAAGGCCTAGAGCTGAGGATAATTTAGAATTAAAAGAATCGTTGATGTAACTACATAGTGGATAGTTGTATCTGTCAGTTGCAAGTGACAGATATTAAAATTATTTCATGAAATGTATTCGATAAAAGAGAGTTGGTTTTATATTAATGTATATTTTTTATTTACCCTTGTAATAATATGGGTTACATTATGATTATTAATTATGTTTTTTAATTATATATTGATATTTCTCAAGGATAACAAGATATTTATTTATTTTATTTTAATCAAATGATTTTTTATGAGAAATATTTGTTTATCATACTATACACAAAATGTTTAATGGAATTAGTAAATAAAAGCAATGAAAATGATTACGTACATAAATTTGTTTACAATAGATATCACATGATATAACTAATGAAATTCTCACCATAATATTTTATAAGATGTAAAAGGAGACTTGTGAACACTATAAAATCTGTTATACAATACTATAGATAATTGCAGATGAAACATAGATATATCCATAAAATAGTCTTCGATATGTTTTCGTTAGATGAAAGCGGATTTAAATATAAATAAAATATTTATAGGTTATGAAGTATCGGAAACAAATTCTGAATATTTATTTATCGTAATAAAAGATATATTTATAGATATTCTTTAGACATCAAAAAATGCGGAGGTTAATGTTATGATGGAGCCTTTAAAGTTAGAGGAAAGATATACGGTTTACAAATGTGTCTTCATAATGAAGAACCTAGAACAATCTATATTCATTGTGCAGGTCATACATTAAATCATGTGTATGGTGCAAGATTCATTTAATACTATTACAAAAATTTGCGATTTTATAATATTAATGAAAAATTAATTATCTTTTGTTTGAGATTCTCCTAAATGCATGGCGATATTTCGTTCCATCCAAGATGATAGTTCAACTTCTTTAAGGCCACTATGCCACACGTTGGTTGGTGTATGCGAATGATATCGCAAAAATTAATAAAAAGAATTATGAAATAATTGTAAAAACTTTTATTATAAATTATAAATACATTTAGCAGTGAGGTTGCTACAAGGGCAAAAAATTAATTACACAAAATAAAGCTTTTTATTTCTTAAAATGATAACAATATTTAAGAGTAGAAGTTTTAAATGCTGAAATTCAAGGTTCTTCATTATATTTTCAGAATGCCAAATATAAAATAGAAATCTTGGTCAAAATTTTTGATATAATAAGACAAGATGAATTTCCATAAATTTTGGAGAGAAGTTAATCTAAAGGCAAAGGAATTAAATTTAGAGGAGTCCATTTTAAAACGACAGAAAAAACGCCTTTAAGATTCGAAGAAGGCTGAATTTATCATACCATCATTTTGAGTCAGTTAATGAATTTTATAGACAAATTTATTATGAAGTTTTAGATCATACTATTCTTGAGGACGTCATAACCATAAAGAACAAAGTGAGAACAAAATTATTTCAATTTTTTAGAGTATACAAAATTTATTAAAATACTATTAACAATTCACCTAAGTGCTTGTTCTGCAGAGTGATAGTTCTCAGGAATAACACGTCTTAAATCTTATTTACGATAAAACAGCAACGATTAAATCATATCGCGTCTCCACCTCTGGTCTGAAATAAGTTTATTCTAAGAATGGGGATATAAAATCAAATATATAATATTCTGACATTTTAAATTTCCAATTGGTGATGCTCGTCCGTCATGGCAAATATACATTTCATCGTGGCTTAATAGAAAAAATAATATAGAAATATTTGATCTTCCTATCATTGCGTTCTTAAATTTCTGCATGTTTCATTTTCAAAATTATATTAAAAAATGATTGGAAAAATAAATTTGTACTAAAATAAGGATTGGGGCATAAACATGATAAAGAGACTAGAATTTACCATTGACAAATCATTCCATCGAATACCTTCGAAAGATGTTCAAACGAAATCCTTATCGCTCTTTTCCCACCTAAATCTAACTCACAAGCCGCAAAATGGTAACAATACGGCTTCTTCACCAGACTAAATAATTTCGCCCTCGTCACATGTCACGAATGTTTAGAAATAATACCTAGTTATAATATAGTCTATTACTTACTCACCAATGAAGAGCTTAGAATCATTACTGGTTTTCGAATAGACTATGAAATTGTAATATCAACGACATGTACTCTCTGTTCCATATCGACAGCCTAGATCACCACACTATATTGTTGCTCTTCAAAAGACAGACTCCTCAGATACTAAGCCATGCAGGGTTGAACAACAAATAGTATAACGTTGTAATACTATAAATTTGAAAATGTAACAACGCTCTGTAACCGTTATATTTTTTGAGTAACTTAACGTTAGAAATTCGCTATTTTTAAAATTAATACTAGGGTTATCATTTTATAATAAAAAAAACTATAAGATCTTTTGACTGCAAAATCCTTAGGAATATAATCTGCACTTATTTTTAACAGCCCAGACGTAACTACCTCTACATGTGATTTTATTATATTTTCAGATTTGGACTCTATAAAGAATATAAATGATGTCAAGTAATTTATACTTCATGATCTATCATTTGAAATTAATATACTGCATAAATATCGACAATTAAAATTTTTTAAATTTAATAATTTACCAACCTAGCCCATCGAATTTCTTTTCTTTTGCTATTATGATTAATAGTCTATGATATTCTATTTGAAAAATGAGTTCTTTCATCAAATGCTAAAATGATAATATTTCATTATTATTATATTAATTTGGATAAAAAATACAAACAAATTAGTGTGTATTTATAGTTTATACTGCCTTTTATTATCTTAATGACTTGCAGCAAAATAAATGAATACATTTTTTTAATGTAACGAAGAGCTTTTATAACTGTTACATGTTTTGAATAATGGTAACATAACTGTTAACTTTTTTTGAGGTAACGAAAATAATCATATTTTTTCCTTGAATAACGGTAACCGCACACTTTAACGTGCCCAACCCTGATGTCATCAATGAAAGCCAACATTCTCCTCGTTGGAACCCTCTGGCTTCAGCCCCGAAAACCAAACAGCCCTGATAAGAGGCCCTAATCTGTTGGAAATAAGGAATCCTCCTTGCTTGGCATTATACTTTAGTAGATCGTTTTACCAAATCCTTATCTACTAACTCCATAATGATAGCAGAAAACTTAAAAACCAATGAATACAAAACGGCTACCTAAGCAATCTATTTTATTCCGGTTTTTTGAGACATCTGTGATATATTTAAACCTCGAGTCCTAAATTATTCAAAACAATAGGATAAAAGATACCGTAAATCAGAGGTGATCCAAATGAGGGTTATTAGATAAGGCAAATAATATCTATCGAAATTTTTCATAGATTATCAAATCCCGATGAATTACTTAAATAATTTTTGTTTTTTAAATAATGTTTTAATTTATATATATTTATAAAAAAATATGTTTTTAAGTTAAAGAATGTAATTATAATTCAAATAAATTAGCGTTAGCTTACCTAAGAAAATAAAAAACAATCATATTTTTGTTAGGAAGAAAGGTTTTTAACGGATACTTATCAAAATATGAAAAATCAATGAAATATTGTAAATTTTAATAATTCTTACTATACTAAATTTTTTGATTTGTTGGGCTAAAAATTATCTCGCCTCCATCAGGGTAGATTTTGCAAACTAGTATTTTCAATGATATTATAATATTACCTAAGCTGATTCAAATGTATATCGACACAAATCAACTGATGACATGCAATTTCGATTACCCATGTAATTAATTCATATTATAATTTTTTGAAAACTTTTTTTAAAAAAAATCATAGTTCTATTTAAATAAATGGGAAACCATAATGGCGTGTCATCCGCTGATTTGTGAATGACACTTCAAAATAAATTTCAATGAATTGACAGTCTATGTTAGAGATCTGCATTGGGCGGGTTTTTGTACCAAAAGCCCGCCCTCCCAATGTTTTAAAATTTTTTAACCCGCCCTCCCAGTCCGCCCATAATTTTCAAAAAAATATATACCCGCCCACCCCGTCCATTTGTCTAAAAATCCTTACCTGCCCGCCCATTATTTATAAAAAAATTTAACCCAAGCCCGCTTATAAAATTTAATTATGGCCATTTTTTGAATTTTTTAAGCATCTAATAAAAATATTTCAGCATTACACTTCTACAAAAAGTTTATAATTTAGGAAATTAATTTAATAAAAAAAATAATCAATTTAAATTATGGATAATTTATTTGATCAAAAAGAATATTTATGAAAAAAATGCAAAAATAATAATGAATCGACATTTTCTGAATTCAAACACGTTCTTCTTTGTTCTAAAAACCTTCCAGCAATGCTAAATCCCCGTTCAGAAGAAGCACTAGGCAGGAATTGCCAATATTTTTCTTGCTAATCTTGATAGCTTTGGCAAATCTTTTTCTTGTCGTTTGCACCAACGTAGAATATCCGTTTGATGTATATCCTCTTCCTCAAGTGAGATCCGGATGTCAGGTATGCAATATATGTACAACTTTTTAGAAGTGAGTACGGAATGATTAATCTGCCATTCCAAAATAAAATACCGTGCTATTTTTGTAATCGTTTTCATGCTATTAGGAATAATAACAGAAAAAAATACTATACAGTTTTATTAACCGGACCTTGAGTTAATATTAGAAACAGATGCATCTAACCAATAATTTGGAGCTGTTGCAAAAATATGATAATGGTAACAAATTTCCAATGCTTACACCTCAAGAACTTTAAAAGACGCTGAAAAGAATTATTCTACAATAGACAAAGAAGCAAAGGCAATAATAAACGGCGTAAAAAATTTCATAACTATTTGTATGGACGAAAATTTAAAATACGAACAGACCACAAACCTTTAATAAAGATATATGGTCATTGCAGAGATTTAAGCTCATTAAAAAACCATAGATTATTACGTTGGTCTTATAAATTATCTGCATATAATTATGAAATAATGTACAAGAATGGCGCTAATAATATAATTGCAGATGCTTTATCGCGAATAACAAGCGAAAATAAAACAGTGAAATATATAAGAAATCTTACTTATGACACATTAACTCTATCAAGAAAGAACCTAGAGAGGAAACCGCAAAAGTCCAATTTTAAGAAAAGTAAATATATTAATAAATGGTATAAATATACAAAATCAATTACCAGAATTACAAGCTTTTAGAACAAGAATAGATGAAATAGAAAATGATGACGGTATTTTATTTTGGAATGGCAAATTAATCATTCCGTACTCACTTTAAAAAAGAGTATTATATATATTGCATACGGGACATCCGGGTATTACATCAATGAAATCCATTACGAGACATTATATATGGTGGGAACAATTAGATAAAAATGTCGAAAAACTAGTAAAGTGTTCTTCACTTAAAAAAAACGAGTGGTACAATAAAAAAGAAATATTGTTATCGATCATTTAATTAATTATGATTTTTATTTAGTTTGTTTTTGAACAAAAATTTTAAATTTCCTTAACCAGCCCGCCCATTGTTTAAATTTCTTAACCCGCCCACCCACCCATAGTTTCAAGATTTTTTAAACTGCCCGCCCGCCTGCCCATTCTCGAAAATTTTTTTACCAGCCCATCTGCCCGCCCACTTAGATGGGCTGGCGGGCCGAAAACCCATCCAATGCAGATCTCTAGTCTATGTATATGTAGGTATAATTATGTGCTATTGAAAAATTTATACTTCAAGGGTAATTATTTACTTTTTAGCCAACGTTTTAATTTCAGGAGGATTTTGATCGCTATCTGATAGCGTAGTTTCATAGAAGCCTGTCTCGATTTTAATTTCTTCCTCTCTTTCGAGTTCTTCCAATTTCTTCGTTTTATTATATATTTTATTTTCAGAATATTAGTTTTCTTAGATTTAAAAATATATTTCAGTATATAATAAAAGTAAAACTTATTAAGGACATATAAATAGATCAATGTATCCATGCTTGATTATTGAAATTTAGCTATGAATTCTATTAACAACACTTAAAACTAAATGTCTAATATTAGAAATTTATTTTACCTTGAAAATATCCATATCAACGAAATCAGCCACGTTCTTGCCGTTCAGTATCTCGGGTAAAATATCGTAAACGTGGTCAATGTTAGCCAAATCGTAATGTTTCTTTAAATCTAAAACGTAATCATCGCCCATCTCCATTTCTATATCCCTTTCCTATTTTTAAATAAAATAGAGCATAAAATATTGAGAGGGTCTCTTTTGATCGTATTTTGGTCCATATTCAGTCAAAATGGACGATATCATTATTTATATGAATTAATATTCAAATAATTATTCGATTTATGTATTTATTTAATATATCAGATAAGTCCAAGTATTTTTTTAAACAATATTTTAGATATAATTTTAATTTACCATTAAATAAACCAATCAGAAAAGTGGAAGAATTTATGATCAAATTACTTTATGATTATAGTTAGGTAAATCTAAAAAAAGATGGTATTATTTTTAAAAATTCTCTTCTGATGTTAGAAAATATGGATATAATACAGGTTATAAAGCTCTATTATAATCAGGCTTAATATTTTATAAAATATAGAATAATTTAATTTTGCTTATTTTTTTAAAAATTATTTTACAAAGATAGCAAATAAATATTAGAAAGTAGTGCGGACAATCTTTTGAACGAAAACTTTTGACTGATATGTCTTTGGTACCGTTCATTTTGGACCAAAATTTTTTACAAGTTATAAAGCTAAAAGTGACTAACTGTTTTTTTGGTTATAGGAATTTCTTCGTCAATATTCATGCGCTGTTCGTCGTATCTAACTCCATCGTGATACTTGGATAATGATTCTTCTCGAAGAGTTTTAGCTTTGGCTTTGGAATCGAGCTTGCTTATCAGTCTCTCCATAGCACCTGGAGGAATGAACGGTAATCTTTTGGCCTTGATTAAGTATATAAATGAACATTGGAATGCTAATAAAAAATATAAATAAAAATGTAAGGATGAAAGAATTAAACAAAATAAATATACGCCGATATCGGTTTTGATCGGAATGGCCATCCTTAATCGATTAGCTATAAGCTCCATTTTTTTACTCTTGCTTTTGTGTTCGACCCTGAAGGCCAACAATCTATCGCATGCCTAATTTTGTTGTATTTTTTTTAAAAATAAAATTTAAAAAATCTCGTGATAAGAAAATTTCTCCTTTTCCTATCGTAGAGCACAAAAAATAGAATATTGTTACATATTCGTAACAAAGTTATTTGTTTATTGTTGTGTTAAATGTTAATATACTTATCTCTAATATATGATCTAATAATAACCAAATTACACTCCAATGAAAGAGATGTTTTAATAATTGAAAAAAAATATGATCACCAAAAAATGTGTTAGAGATAAAAGTATCAAAACATATTCCAAATATATAATACAAATTTCCACAAAAATTACTTCATTTTTGACATCTATGACCCCTTGGTGTGTCAATGCGCTCATAGTCTTGAAAGGAACATCCTGAGAATAAAACGTTTTATCCAACAAAAGCCTATTCTCTTCACTTAATTCGTCGAGACCTTTTATGTCAACCTTATTAGCTATAATCATTATGGGCTAATTTTAAAAAGATAAAAAGATGTGATAAACATTTTCGGCATTCAACAATTTCACAGGAGTAAAAGAAAGTTATTTAAGTCGAAAATGTAGAAGAACTTATTTAATATAAGATAATTAGTTTTAGCTTATTGATATTTTAAGGCTGCGTCCAAAATATAAAACAATAAAAGTAGAAAATTTATCCAAAATATGAAATAAGCCTTTTTTTAAAATAAAAAACGTGGCTAAACATATCTTTATAAATTTTTTGAAATTAAGACATCAATACTAGATTTCCTGAAATAAGTTTTAAGCTTAGAAAGCACAAAATATGAAAACACATCAAAACAATTTTCTGAATGTATAATTTTGTTTTGTATTAATATATATTTTGTAGTTGAAAAACAACGATATAATTTAAAAGGATTATATGTTAGAAATATATATGAAACGTTTTATAAAATATGGAAATAAATTTCTTGTTATAACCTTATTAATGAATAGCGGTTGTATATTTGCATAGAGAGCAACCTGGAAATAATTTTAAGAAAAGAAATAATTTTATAAAAATATTTAAAAACTTAAATATTAATATACAGCTTTTTGCCAAAAAAATTAAGGAAAATGCAAGCTTATCAAATATCATTACTAGAATCCTGCACGGATAGATCCGAATCGAAAACTCAGGTTGATTGAATTCGGACCTTAATTTTAAATTTAATTTAAGACCAGATAGAACTCGGATAAACAAAATTGAAAATTATTTTGTTTTTTTTCTAATTTCTTTATAAATATTAAATAATTAAAATTTTCGTTATTTCTATTGTACCTTTTAAACAGTTCAATAAAAAATAGTCCGATGCAGGGCTCTAAAAACATATCTTCCTTCTACAATTTGCAACCTTGTTCTTATATTTCTTATTTTTGTATAGTTTGATATTATCCCACAAAAAACATTAATCATTCTAATATAGTAAGAAAGAAATATCATATCCATAGTACATACTCTTATCTCCATTGTTTAAGTAACTTGATACTTGCATGTTTACAAAAGGAATCCGTATTTAGAACATTTAAAATTACCCTTTTAACAAGTTTTATGCAAAGACACCTCTCTGCATAGATATCCTTCGAATCCATTGTAATAAAAAAGAAAAAATTATAATAACCTTGTTAAAAGATCTTATTTTTACTTAATTATACCATTACTGAAAGACATATCCAAAAATATATACAAATTACGAATGTTGTCGTGAACAAGTTCGATTTTTAAAAAAATGATGAACGGCGTTATTTTTTTTTTTGACAAACGCTTTCGTTTTTTACGTTCGTTCAATCTTAGATTTATTTGAATTTTTTAAGAAAAAACGGTAATTTTTTAATCAGCTGCATTTACCACATGTAAATTTTTAACTAGCCACTTTTTCTGTCATATAGTATAGTTTATTATTTTGAATATTATTTGGATGTTGTTATTTCATCATCATTATCTGATTTTGAAAATTCAGAATCACATGAATTAACATTAACATGAAATATACTTTTCAATAAAATTCTATATTCAATGAACTAACTTTATCCTAGCCAAATATAAAACGTGTATAAAAAGTAAATCAGTTTTAAAATCTTCAAGTTCTAAGAGGCACTTGATTGTAATATTTATTATTTTATATATAATCACCGTAATCAAGAATTGAACGTTTTCGTATAATCTTGATGTTAATTTTTATTTTTCCTATCAACTTTCCTATCAACTTAATGTTAATTTTTATTTTTTCTATCAACTTTCCTATCTTCTTAATGTTAAATAAATCGATGGAGACTATATATCTCTAATGTTAAATTTTAAGAAAATTTTTTGTATACCACGGGATTCGAACACATGATTTAACGTTTTAAAGGCAAAGGTTCTTCCCACTCAGCCACCTTCTATATTACATTTTGTAATATAATCTTTCTTATATATGTTATTATTTTGCTATTAACATATTTTTCAATTAATTTATATAATTTAGATCTTATTGTTATAAGAATACTAACCTCACCTCAAATTATGATAAGAATGAATATTATTAAATTTAAAATAGCAAATTAAATTATATTTAGCCAATTGAAAAATAAACATTTATCTCATATTAATTTTAGCGTAAGTATTTATATTCAATCAAAGTAAAATTTATTAATTTTTATAAATTATTTTTATATTACAATTTAGATTTAACAAATAAATTTAAATTACTTACCACCCCAAAATATGGTAATAATTTTTTTTTATCTCAACCACAATATGGGAGCTCTGCAAATAGTATAAAATATCTATTTATCAATATCTTCTCATGCCAGAAAATTAACCTCCCTTACTAATCCCAAATACTTATTATAATTTAGATTTAACAAATAAATTTAAATTATATTTAGCCAATACATTTATCTCATATTACCACCCCAAAATATGCCAGTATAAAAATTTTATCTCAACAACAATATTTGAACTCTGAAAATGACATACAATACCAATTTATCAATATCTACACTACATTTTTGATTACAATTTCATATATTTTACGCTAAATTTAGTAAAATGATAAATAATCACTAAATTTCTCATTTATTTTATAAAAAAAAATGTATTTAAAAAAATTCTTATAATAGTTCAAGATTTTATTATTCCCGTCATTCTTGACGGGTCATCAACTAGTATAACTATAAATATAAGTAGCCTGTTTAATTTATTTTAGATTGTAAATTATTATGATTATTATAATAATATTCATAGATATAAAATAGTTAATAGCTTTTCTTTCTTTCTTTCTATCTAAATTGTTTAGCACAATTTAAAGTATTGTAATCAGGGTTGGCATTAACCGGTCAATTGACCGAATAAGTATTTGACCTGGTAAAATACTCTAAAATATTATTGGTGAATAAATATAGTGGTTTATAATATGTATTCAAAGCATGTCTATCAATCTAATTAGGTTACAATTTATTTAAAATTGTATCATCAAGGCATCGATTTAGTTATAATTTTATATTAAAATATAAGATTTTCATATTAAAATAATAAAAGAATTTTCATATTAAAATAATAAAAGAATTTTTCTCATTAATAATTTGATTGGATCTCAATATATAAATAATATAATAATTTTGCTAAAACATGGTTTGAGAAAATTACTATGCCAATTTATATTTCATTATCTAAACTAGATGGACATTGTCAATAGAATGTAAGAATAAATTCAAATATGTAAGAAAGCTCTGAAAGCAGATGTTGTAGAAGTTGGATATTTGTCCGAAAGGAATTACCAATGATATACTAAATGTAGAATTTTGAACGAAAAATTTAAAATTTTTATTCTTTAACATTTAGCTATTTTATTGTTGTAAGTGCAAAGGGATAAATGTACTTTGGCCCACGAAAAAACGAGATGATTAATTTGGAAAACACATAATTCAATCATGCTAACATTTTATAATTTTTCTATCTGAAGAAAAAAAATTTAATGATACATTTGAAATAAAAAAACAATCCAAATACATATGCGCACACAGCTGATTATTTATTGGCTCAATATAAGGGGAACATCTTACTAGCAGTAATTTGATGAAGCGTGATATAATATAAGAATTAGACATTTTACAAGGTGATGATAATCAAATTATTTAAAGTAATATCATAAATTTAAAAGTAAAAGGGTATATTTAATAGCTAAAATAACTTTCATAACAGATTTCGGCCTCAAGTTGTTGGAACGTGCCCAACTAAAACATGTGTCAAATATCTTACCAATAATTCCTAGTTATACTTCTTTTTCAGAAAGAAATTAGTCGGTTTGGGGCAAAATTTATAAGAAGAAAAGAAATCAATTGAAGTTGACAACCAACAAATTGGTAAGAGTATAATCTAAGATTGATTTAAAAAATTTAAGAAAATTATAATATTGAATATAAATCAAACAAGACTCTGCTATGGAAATCGTAGCATTAATTATAGAATTTAAAAAAATATAATTTTATATTACGTAGATTCATTTTTTTACTATTATATATAATAAAGTTAATATTGTCTTAAAAACATTTATTTAATAAATTTGACCTGTCAAATACACAACCCTGATTATAATTATAAATTATATAAATAAATTTTAATGATATATAAAAAATTTTAATGTTAAAAATAATATAATTATTTTTATAAATAAAATTTATTCACTATATTATATTTTATTTATATGTATAAAAATACTATTTATTTTAAATATGGCTTAATATATTGTTCTAAAATCATTTATTCATATTAAATTTGTTAAATAATATTTTACAATGTTTAATAAGTTGTTAAAAGGTTAATTTCGGTAAAAAGGTTTAAATGTTATTTTATACTTATAAAAATTATAAAATCTAATCCTATTTTCCTTAAAGAGAGAATCTTTTATCAAGCTCAATTCCATCTCCATATTTTTGTATGTTTTGATCTTTATCGGTTCATCATTCCTAATATTGTCGATGATTTCCATTAATTCTTTATCAACACTTTTTTCTTTAACTATTATTTTGAAATTTATTGGTATATCCCATAATTTATCATCAATTATTTTACAATCTATTCCTTGTATCATCTCTTATGTGATCGTCTGTGGTAATCTAGACAAACAATCTATACTATATTTTGTTTCCCCGGTCTATGTATTATCGTAAAATCGTGAGCTCCCATCGCCAAATTATCCTTCAGTCCCTTCGTAAAAATATATACGAGGGGCTTGTGGTTGATTATTGTAAATTTTGTTCAATACCGTGTATATTATAGACAAGACTTCTCTGTCAATCTTTGTGTAGTTTAATTCTGATTTAAATTTTACAAGGTTAATCTATTAAAAGTTGTTAAAGGGTTAATTTTGGTAAAAACGTTTAAATGATATATTTTACTTCTAAAAATTATAAAATCTGTTAAATACAAGTAACAATGTTTATTAATGTATTTTGTATTGTAGAAGACCTAAGGCTTAAAACGATATATTATATTATATTTAATATTAAATTGATGTTTTGAAACGTTATATACATTGATTTTTATTTAATATTAAATTGATGTTAATTTTGTATATATAATATACCAAGATGATAATGATTACTTTCACCTTTTGTTTTCTTGATCTTAGTTGAAAATAAAATCATCATTCTTCCTTAATTATTCAATACAATCGCTCACAATTTATTCTATTCAATTATTACAATTTCTCTTTCATTATGGTGGAGGATAGGGGCACCAGTATTGGAAGCTGGTGCGGAGACTGAATTCAACATATGTGCACCTGGTATGGGTCTGAAATTGAAGAGACGTGTTAAAGAGACTGGTTACATCCTTTGCGTGTTAGGTATGGGTCTGAAGATGAAAAGACCGTTGTTTAAAGAATGATTCAATTTAATCGTTATAAAAAAAAAATTTTTTTGCTAAAGATTTTGTAAGCACCTTTTATGTTTAACAATTAAAATAACCTAAAAATTTTTTTTTAAACTTGTAAATTTAATTTTTTTTGTTTAAAAACAAGGATTAGTATTTAAAATAATACAATTTCTGGAATGTGGTAATATAATAATTAAATTAAAACCAGTATTGGTTATTATTAATATTATTCCAATTTATATAGTGTAAGTTATACCTTTCTTATAGATCTAAGTCAAGGGTAACTACGAAAAAAAGCTATATGCTATTTTTAGGTTGACCCCTCTCCATTAACCATATATAGTGTAATTTATTTATAATTATGAAAAAGAACTATTATGGATAACTACTAGCACAATTATAGTGTAAATTATACCTTTCTTATATATGTCGAAGTCAAGGGTATAACTACGAAAAAAAAACTATATAGTATTGCTAGTTTGACCCCTCCCCACTTCCCTCCCAATTTATTTGATTTGTTGGTTAATCATTGTTATTTAACTATTTCTTTCAAATATTTTCTAATAAATTTTTGATAATATATGTATCATACATACCCCGTAATACAAATTTTTAATTCTTGTTATGATATTTGATATACTTTTCCCAGTTTTTTGATATTCTCTCAAAATTATTTCGTATTATCAATTGTATTGTCATTACTTAATTTTTTTTAAATATTTTTTTTTGGGGGGTGATGCATGTTAAATACAAGTAACAATGTTTATTAATGTATTTTGTATAATAGAAGACCTAAGGCTTAAAACGATATATTATATTATATTTAATATTAAATTGATTTTTTAAAACGTTATATACATTGATTTTTATTTAATATTAAATTGATGTTAATTTTGTATACATACCAAGATGATAATGATTACTTTTACCTTTTGTTTTCTTGATCTTAGTTAAAAATAAAATCATCATTCTTCCTTAATTATTCAATACAATCGCTCACAATTTATTCTAATCAATTATTACAATTTCTCTTTCATTAAAATCAAATCGATTTTACTTAAAGGTCAATTATATATTTTCAATTAACTTTGGTTTTAGTCAAGTTTCTTTATTTATTTTATTTTCATTAATTGTGAAATGTAAAATTACTCATTATAGAAATATATATAAAGTCGATGAAATTGTATAAGATATACTTAAATGATTTGCAAATAAACTTTTAATAAAATTTAAAATATATATGTTTAGAGATTTCTTTTAATAATTTCCTTTGCCTTACATAAATATTAAAATTAAATTTATTAATAAAGTTTTGAACGAACGTGAAGGTGTTAGAATTTTATCAATGAACTTTGAACGCGTTCGAATTTTTAGAAATATATATAGCATACAAATTACTATGGTAATCCTTTAGATTAGAGATCTGCATTGGGCGGAATTTCGGCCCGCCCGCCCATCTAAGTGGGCGGGTAAAAAAATTTTCGAGAATGGGAGGGCGGGTTGCTATCAAGATTAGCAAGAAAAATATTGGCAATACCTGCAACTAGTGCCTGAACGAGGATTTAGCATTGCTGGAAGGTTTTTAGAACAAAGAAGAACGTGTTTGAATCCAGAAAATGTCGATTCATTATTATTTTTGCATCATAATTACATATAATATCAATTTTATATTTATTTCATAAATATTCTATTTGATCAAATAAATTGTTCATAATTTAAATTGAATACTTTTTTATGCTTAAATTAATTTCCTAAATTATAAACTTTTTGTAGAGGTGTAATGCTGAAGTATTTTTATTAGATACTTAAAAAATTGAAAGAATGGCTATTATTAAATTTACTTGGGTTAAAATTTTTTATAAATGAGCGGGCGGGTAAAAATTTTTAGACTAATGGGCGGGCGGGTAAGGAATTTTAGACAAATGGGCGGGGCGGGCGGGTATATTTTTTTTTAAAATATGGGCGGGTAGGGTTGGCGGGTTAAAATTTTTTTAAAACATTGGGTAATGCAGACCTCTACTTTAGATGCAATAAACCTGTTTTACCCTATAAAAATAAAAATATTTCTACTTTTAAAATCAATCAACAGTTCTAATAAAATGCTAACCTGATCTTGCAACGAGTAGCCACATGTCTCCGACACGTCAAGAAAGTAGAGTACTATAGCCTTTATGTGGGCTAAGGCGGTTATGGCCTGCATTTCGATAGTATTTCTCTGTTCAAGAGGTTTGTCTAATATACCAGGGGTGTCAATAACCTGAGTTTATTTTATTATTATAAAAAGCTCGATAAATACTAAATAAACATTAAATAAAAAGTAACATGTTTCTATGTTGGTCTTTTCGTTCTATTTTATTTATATTTTTTGTAATCGTAATTTCATCCATTTAATCAACTTTATAAAATCTGGGATGGGTCATTCCATGTCAAATCAATCACTTTACAACCCGACCATCTCAGATTTTGTTAATTTGGTATTTAAGTTAATAAAGTATTGTAATTGACGAGTCCAAAATATTAGACTCTCTCTATTAGAACCAGAGATATAGGGCTTCAAAGTGGCTCAGCTTGGTCATTTTTCGAAAAAAATGATTTTTAAAAGGGATGACTTTTATATTAGATGCACTATGTATATCTATATGGCTCATTTTATAGCCCTAAGTTCTTGAACGTATGTTAAATAAAATTAATTTTTAGTTTATATATTTTTTTTAAATTGCGGTTAAAAATTTGTAATTAATTTTTTAAAATCTTAGACTAAATTTTTTTTTCCAAATTTCAGATATTTTGTAAAGAGTACCAAGAACTGTTAATATAAAAAATTTCAGAATGTGGCCAAAAAAATTAATTAAGAAAAATCTCATTTTCAAAAAATCCGCTAGATAGCGTAAGTAATTTAAAAAATCAATTTTAACAATATAAGTCAATCTAAGAATTTTTTTATTCCATAATAAAATATTTTTCTAATAATTAATAGTAAGCATATAATAAAAATATTTAAAATAATTTTAATTAAATTTCCTTGAATTTAATTTATAGATAATAAAATTTATTAAGCATTAATTATTTTTTCCAATAATTTATCGATTTTTTTATCTGTTACTTTTTCCTAAAATTTATAATTTATAATTTCTAAAATAAATTAATATTTTATTAATATGTTTAGTACAAATCCATTGAATCTTCCAAATCACTATTTCAAAAAAGGTTTAAGAAAAGTGACGATTTGGATGACAATGTATCATAAAATTAGGAGAATAAATATATTTGTCCTAAGTGTCGCAAATTTTTATATAAAAAGAAGAATAGTATTCCAATTTTAGAGGTAGCAACATCCCTACAACTTCAAATAATTTCTTAAACTCCACTGATATAGAAAATGATTATCCAATTAATAACGACAATGCGCAACTCCTTACACTTAGAATCCTTAAATTCTACTTTAAATAAAATGGGGCCATTCTCTAATAAAAAAAAGAGACTAAGAGAAAAAGGATATCCCAAGAAAAAGCTCAGCAGAATTTCAACAGCTATTGGCAAAATTCTTCAACCAAAAATGAATACAACTGGTAGCGACGATTTGATAATTCATATGAAAAATAATTATCCATTATTGTCAAAAACACAAAAATATCAATTATTAACGACATAACCTCCAAATTGGAGCATTCACAAAATTAAAAAACAATTTAATGCTTCGTTTTATATGATCCGTAATCAAAATTCATACTTGGTCAAATGGTGATTCTTTCAACTCCTAATCCCAAGGCAGGTAAAACCATAGATCAGAGCACAGTTGACGTTGTAAAAAGTTTCTATTTAAACGATGAATATAGTAGATTACTGCCTGAAAAAAAGATTGCCTTTCTATAATTGGAAATGATGAAAGTATTAATGTTCAAGAACGGTTAATTCTTAATAATTTATCTATATAAATTTTAAAACTATCTACTCTTCTCTTAAAATTTTTCAAAATTCACCTAATTGTGCCCTAAAAATTGCATAATGCCAGGTTCAAGTGGCACTCACTCGGTTTGTGTCTGCCTAATCCATCAGAATGTTAAGTTGCTAATAATAGGTAGCAATTTAGCTACTTTAACAAAAATTAAAGATTTTGATATAAAGACTTACAAAGACATAATTCCAAAAATGATTTGCAATCCTCCCCTGCCAGCCTGTTATTTTGGCGAATGTCATGAATGTCCTGCGAACCAAGCATTAAGGGCTAAATTATAAAATTTATCACATGTTATATACAGTATAACGTTCAAGCAATGGATATCTGTAGATAGAACCAGTCTAGAGACCCAAACGCAAACAGCTGAGAATTTCTTAATTACTTATTTAAAAAATTTTATTTTGATTCGCCATGCTTTTATTACTGAACAGCAAAAGAGATTCCATCAGAATCTTAAAAACAATTTGTTGAAGTTATTAAAAAAAATATATATCTTTTTTTTAAATAACTTCAACACCTTCGCACTTCTACTTAATTCTACCCCTCATACATTGTTCCCTTGTTCTACCACAGGTTAGTCCTCCTGTACCGCTAACATTTGATTGTTGGTGCTAATAGTGGGACATCTCCGTAAAATATGATCCCCTCCACAAAACCAGCAAGCCATTCTTCTTCGGGATCCCCATTCCCGTTCCCTTCTACGATTATACGATCTGCTTGTAGGTCTATCTGCCGTCATCTCTCCATATCTGATCTGGGCCTCCTCTCTGGCGGCATCGATCCATCTTCTCGATTCAGCGGATCCGTCAACCATTCTAATTTCGATCTTCAAAATATAGTTTCCCACTCGCACGTATGACGCCATCTATCACGGACTAAAGCTGAAAATATACTATATTTATCATGTATTTATCTCTTATAATTCAACCGTTTCCTAATTCTCAATACTCTTAATCATTCTCGTATTACCTATGCCTCTCTCATTCTTTTTTATCAACTTGTTCATACCTTCTAGTGTACTTGATATGTCACATTCTGATTATCGTCATTCTCGCAGACTTGTTAAAGGAGCAATTTAATTATGCCTATCAGCATTCTCTACATTCTGATTCTCATAATCCTCGCAGACTTAAAAACAAATCGATTATGTCTATCAGCATGCTCTACATTCTGATTCTCATAATTCTCGCAGACTTGTTAAAAAAAACAAATCAATTATGTCTATCAGCATTCTCTACATTCTAATTCTCGCAGACTTGTTCAAAACAAATCAATTATGTCTATCAGCATTTTCTACATTCTGATTCTCATAATTCTCGCAGACTTGTTCAAAACAAATCAATTATGTCTATCAGCATTTTCTACATTCTGATTCTCATAATTCTCGCAGACTTGTTCAAAACAAATCAATTATGTCTATCAGCATTCTCAACATTTCAGTAATTTAATCGATTTACAACGCCATTTATCACTAATCTAGACACCTAGGTCTTAATTGCTTAATATGCCTCGAAACTACTCCTATTCTTCCTTCAATTTCTACTTCTACATTCTTGCTCCCTATATTCTTTTTCACTATACCTTTACCCCATTTAAATGGGCCATCAAAAAGTAGTATCCAAACTAGGCTTCCGATCTTAAATCTGTCATTAATTATAAATTCTTTCTGTTCTATTCTTTCTTTCAGAAAATCTAATTCAGTTCTGGTTTTTCTACCTAAAAATATCTCTGCTGGTGAGTATCCTTTGCTTCTCTTGGTATTGTTGCACGCTAATAGTAATAATCACCATTTTCCTTCTCCATATTTTTCCTTTTTTAACCAACTCTTAACTAGCGCTACCATTCTCTCCGCTTGTCCATTACTTCAGGGGTAATGTGGTGGTGCTAATATTTGTGTCTAGACAGTTTAATAAGGCTGAAAGAAATTATTCAACTATAGAAAGGGAAGCCTTAGCAGTCAGGTTTGGTTTGACCAAATGTAGAGAGTATTTGTTAGGCCGGAGATTTGTATTATATACAGACCACAAACCGCTGGTAGGGCTTTTTAAAAGAGATAATAATGAGTTGATGATGTCTCCAAGGTTACAGAAATGGTTGATGTTGTTAGGGAATTTTGATTTCGAAATAAGATTCAGAGCAGGCAAACAAAATTGTTTACCAGATATATTATCGAGATTATGGGATAAGGACTTAGAGGAGGACAAGGAAATAGAGCCAATGATAAATATTTTAGAATATAGTGAAGAAGATGAACTAAATTGTAATGTGATAAGAGCTTTAAGGATAGACACAAGAGAAAGACCGATAACTTTAGAGCTTGTAGACAAGATTTCTCAGCAGGATGAAGAATTAATGAGAATTAGAGCCTGTTTGAAGAGAGATAAAGAATGGGAAGATAGAGACCAGGCCTTTAAGAACAGTAGAGGTGAATTGAATATAGAAGACAATTGTTTAATGAGAGGATATCGTTTAGTGATACCAAGTAGGTTAAGGAAGGACATGTTAGCAGCCGTACATACAGGACATCAGGGCATAGAAAGAATGAAGAATAAAGCGAGGGAATACATTTGGTGGCCCAGAATGAATAATGAAATTGAAGAATTATCTAAGAGTTGTGAAACATGTAATAAGTGTGCGAATGTACCTGCAAAAGTTAGGGGAGATAAATGGCCAGAAACAGACGTACCCTGTGAAAGAATACACGTAGATTTTTTAGAATATGAAAGGAAGAAATATTTTATAATGGTAGATGCAGGTTCGAAATGGATAGATTGTCAGCCGGTATCAAGTCTGACGACGAAAGTAGCTTTGAATAAGGTAAGAGACTTCGTAAGTAAATATGGATTAATGAAGACCTTAGTATCAGATGGTGGTCCAGCATTTATAAGCAGAGATTTTGACAAATTTTGTGATAGATGGAAGATTAAACATTTATTAGCACCACCACATTACCCGAGAAGTAATGGACAAGCGGAGAGAAAGCGCTAGTTAAGAGTTGGTTAAAAAAGGAAAAATATGGAGAAGGAAAATGGTGGTTATTACTATTAGCGTACAACAATACCAAGAGAAACAAAGGATACTCACCAGCAGAGATATTTTTAGGTAGAAAAACCAGAACTGAATTAGATTTTCTGAAAGAAAGAATAGAACAGAAAGAAGTTATAATTAATGACAGATTTAAGATCGGAAGCCTAGTTTGGATATTACTTTTTGATGGCCCATTTAAATGGGGGAAAGGTATAGTGAAGAAGAATATAGGGAGCAAGAAGGTAGAAGTAGAAATTGAAGGAAGAATAGGAGTAGTTTCGAGGCATATTAAGCAATTAAGACCTAGGTGTCTAGATTAGTGATAAATGGCGTTGTAAATCGATTAAATTACTGAAATGTTGAGAATGCTGATAGACATAATTGATTTGTTTTGAACAAGTCTGCGAGAATTATGAGAATCAGAATGTAGAAAATGCTGATAGACATAATTGATTTGTTTTGAACAAGTCTGCGAGAATTATGAGAATCAGAATGTAGAGAATGCTGATAGACATAATTGATTTGTTTTTTTTAACAAGTCTGCGAGAATTATGAGAATCAGAATGTAGAGCATGCTGATAGACATAATCGATTTGTTTTTAACACGTCTGCGAGGATTATGAGAATCAGAATGTCGAGAATGCTGATAGGCATAATTAAATTGCTCCTTTAACAAGTCTGCGAGAATGACGATAATCAGAATGTTACATATTAAGTACACTAGAAGGTATGAACAAGTTGATAAAAAAGAATGAGAGAGGCATAGGTAATACGAGAATGATTAAGAGTATTGAGAATTAGCGGTTGAATTATAAGAGATAAATACATGATAAATATAGTATATTTTCAGCTTTAGTCCGTGATAGATGGCGTCATACGTGCGAGTGGGAAACTATATTTTGAAGATCGAAATTAGAATGGTTGACGGATCCGCTGAATCGAGAAGATGGATCGATGCCGCCAGAGAGGAGGCCCAGATCAGGTATGGAGAGATGACGGCAGATAGACCCACAAGCAGATCGTATAATCGTAGAAGGGAACGGGAATGGGGTCCCGAAGAAGAATGGCTTGCTGGTTTTGTGGAGGGGATCATATTTTACGGAGATGTCCCACTATTAGCACCAACAATCAAATGTTAGCGGTACAGGAGGACGAACCTGTGGTAGGACAAGGGAACAATGTATGAGGGGTAGAATTAAGTAGAAGTGCGAAGGTGTTGAAGTTATTAAAAAAAAAGATATATTTTTTTTATGTTATGATTTGAATATTTAAATGATAGATGAATATTTAAGTTATCTGTAATGAACTTACTTTTTTTTAAAATTTTGCATAAACAAATTTTTTTTATTTGAACATAAAAACCCATGATTATTAACGAACGTCTATGTACGAATAATATTATAGATTATTGTTATTTTGCATAGAAAATGTTTTGTTTTTGCATAGCAAATTTTTTATATATAAACTCGCAATTTTTTATAAAATACAATCAATCGGATATTGGAAAATAAATAACTTGTAATCTTTTAAAGGGTATTTATTAAAATTATAGTGAATATAATCTTACAATATTTATATCGAAAACATCAAAATTCGACATAATTTAGAGCAAGATCATTATTGGTTATCTGTGATTGTTATATTTGAATATCGTATTTATTCAAAAGGTTACGTTATATATTTTAAAAGGATGTTATATATTTTAAAAGGACGTTATTTGTGTATTATATTATTATAACTTTCCGACATGTAATATTATATTATCGAGGTTAATCAAATTGCATATTATTAGAAGTTAAATTGGATAATTATATAAATGTATATATGCAAAAGAATTACAAATAAAAATTCATTATTGTTTTTAAACTTTCAATATTATATTTGGCGACGAGGTAAAAAAAAAGTCGCGCGGTTTTCGATCTTCGGTCAAGTTAAATATTATATAGAATTATAAAAAAAAATTTCAGTTTATGAAAAAAATAATATATTTGTTTAGAAATTATGAAAAGATAAGAGATAAATGGGCTACACGTACGACTATAGACACATAAAATACCCTCAAAATTTTCTATTGACGACTATGGACAAAAAAAAATATTCCTCAAACTGACGTCACTTTGAAAAAATTACTTATAGCTTATGGAGGAATAAATATTAACTGAAAAAAAAGAAAGAATTACTCTTCCTAAGAAAATATGGGCAGATATACCAAAATTGAAAACAACTTATAAAGATAAAACTGTTCTGGCATCTAGAATTGATTTTATTAGATTAGTCGCGGGCCTACAGAATCCTTTTTGAGTATTTAAAAACAGTCGCGGGCCTACAGAATCCGTTTTGAGTTATTTAAAAACTATAAAGGAGCTAGCCCGAAGATGCGAATTTGAAGATAAGAATTCGCGATCAATTAATCGCCGGAGAACTATGTTTACGATACCCTGATACTAAAGACGAAGCTCAACCGTTAAAGTTAAACAAAGTTATAGAATTTATGATAATGATAAAGGGCACTATCAAAATGATTGATGCTGGATTATAGAATTTTTATAGAATTTGACTTATCGTGATTTATACAGCCTATTTGGATTTCCGTAGATTATAGAATTTAACTTTTACCAACGAATGTAAAAATTAATATGATCAACAATAAATACAAATATAATGGTAATGTGAATATTGACAAACTGGTAGTGATACGTAAAACTTCAGGTGAACTACGATTATGTGGAGATTAGTAACATTAAATAAATTTCTACTAAAAAAATACATTTATTATTATTCCGATGGGTCCGCGGAGAAATATAAAAATAGGAAAAATTTTATAAATTTGTGTTATCATCAAGTAGACTTCGCCATCCCAGCAGAGTGGCATTTTTTTCCTACTGCCCATGGGAAAAATGTTTGCTGGCTGCACGGGCCAGTTTACAACGTCCTTATGATATTCAAATAAAATCTCCCTATGAATTCTTTAAATTCGCTTAGAAAAATATAAAAATATTTATTTTTCCCATCCCATAAAAAAATCAAGATGAGCAAGAATTTTTAGAGGAACGATTTTCAAGATCTCTTCCAATTCCTGACTCAAAATTTATGCACTATCCTGTTAATTTATATATATCTGAAATTTGGGGAAAAATTTTTAGTAACATTTTAAAAAATTAATTACAAATTTTTAACCGCAATTTAAAAAAATATATAAACTAAAAATTAATTATATTTAACATATGTTCAAGAACTTAGGACTATAAAATGAGCCATAATAGATATACATAGTGCATCTAATATAAAAGTCATCCCAATTTTAAAAAATCATTTTTTTTGAAAAATGACCAAGTTGAACCACATTGAAGCCCTATATCTCTGGTTCTAATAGAGAGTCTAATATTTTGGATTCGTCAATTACAATACTTTATTAACTTAAATACCAAATTCTAACAAAATCTGAGATGGTCGGGTTATAAGGTGATTGATTTCACATGGAATGACCCGGGACTAAAACTTCTTTCAAAAATTTCAGAGGTTAGTCCGCCTCTACTATAAATATCCAATTTTCCTCCAATGTTTCTAAAATACTATTGATTTATTGATCATATAAAATACCATGTCTATATTATTATGTATATATTTGTTTTTAATAATGAATACCCAAAGACTCAAATACCTACCTACTTCATTTCCAATTTGTAAACTTGTGCCCCTCCCCAACCTCAGAAATAATCAATAATATCGAACCTGCCATTTAAGATAATTATGGTCAGTGTGCCCAACATAGAGTGATTTAGTGGTGAAGGCATAAGGTTGTACCTCGACATCGGCCCTCGTGATCTGGCAAAGGAAATCAAAATTATTTTATAAATATAAGTTAGAATGGTTAGCTAATGGTTTGTGGAAGGAGGGGGTATTTGATTCGAATGTGTGCTCCCAGTCCCAGTGTTTAATTAATATCTTTACTTAATAATTATAAATATTAATATGAATATTTATAATATCTAATAATATGATAATTAAAAAATATCCCTTCATCAAATGACCCCTCCTTCAGCTTTTAAGTTTATATATAATCCCCCCCCCCTTTCGGCGCTCAAAAGTTTAAGCACCGCTTAAAAAAATGTAATAGTATTTATAAGAAAGTGTTTAGTATAAGATAAAATTGAAGATAAAAATTTCTGATTTTTTATTATAATTTATTAAGAAAAATAAATAAAAAATTGTTTGAATAACCGAAAAATTATAATTAATAGTTCAAATACTTGCGTATATTGTATTTTAAAAAACACCAAAAATATGCGATTTGAATAAGATTAAGGAAAATTAAAAATATTACCCTATTCATAAAACTAGACTTCCCAACATTGGGAAAGCCTGATATTAAGATGGATGGCTGGTTGGGGTCAATGTTAGGCAGCCTTGACATATGTTGTCTCACGCTTTCCAGATATTCCAACCCTTCTTTTTGTCCTCTCATCAACGTTGCCATTCTAATATAAGTTGATTTAATTTGTTAGACATATAATGTCGTAGGATTTTAACAAATCTTTAAAACTGTCCTTTATAACGAGCGTTTTGTTAAAAATTTTAACATTGAAAGAACATCTACCCTATAATTATCAAACAGATTTGCTATGAACTTGTGAACTACCTTGAATTTATATAAATTTTTAAACAAAAATTTTAGGATAAATTTACAAAAACTCATCATTGTTTGAAATTCAGAGGGTAGGTACTCTATACATGCTGGATGATTCCACTAAAATAATATATTTATCAAAATTAAAAAATGTGCACTATAAATGATATAAGTTTTTAAAATTTCTAATTAAATTTGCTTCACCCCTATGACATTTATGTCAAGGAAATATTAAATATGCTATAAAAAATTTTTTTAAATATTTGCTAATTTTATTAAATTCAAATAGTATAAAATGTCAAAAATATTATAAAATTCGCAATAAAAAAAACAATAGCATAATTTATTGAAAAATAAATATATTTTATTTTAAAATGTTTGATATTGAATTGGATATATTGACAAACATCATCAATCGATATTACAGACATGTAGGCCCGGATCAAAAGTCCGTTAAAAATTTTAAAAATAAATCCAGGCTGTGGGACTAAATAGTCATATTGAAAATTACGAAACTTATATAATTCCTGGCGAGGTCGCAAAATAATAATCAGGCCAGGTCAACAAAAAATTTATCGGAAGCCTTCTGCTTTTATATATTAAAGTAAAAATGAGTCTATAAAAATTCAAAAAAATCAAAACAAAAACAATGTAAAAACTACCCCCCTACAATTTTATTCAAATGATGATAGCGCACAGCCCGCCCACGGGTAAAAAAATTTTCGAGAATGGGCCGGCGGGCGGGTTAAAAAATTTTGAAACTATGGGCGGGTGGGTGTTCGGGTTAAGAAATTTAAACAATGGGCGGGCGGGTTAAAGAAATTTAAAATTTTTATTCAAAAACAAACTAAAGATAAATCATAATTATTTAAATGATCAATAACAATATTTCTTTTTTTATTGTACCAATCGTTTTTTTAAGTGAAGAACACTTACCTAACTATATTATGTAATAAACAACAATAAAACTTTTTCATAATCAAATAAATATGGATATAATGGGAAAAACAAATTGTGAAAAAGAAATAAGCTAAAAATATTATAATTGAAAAATTTGAAATCCATATGCTTCATAAAATTTCAACATTTTTAATACCAAAATTCCGACAAATGAGTATGACGTCGAAAGAAATTAAAACATATTGAAAACATGTAGGATTTGATTTGCATCGAAGAATATAACATCGACGTGGATGAAAATCTAATTTTATCCTTTTCCCCAAAAGCAAAGAGAATCCAATTAAAGGGTATTAATAAATTATAAAATCGCTTAGCTATATTAAATTCAATGTTTGAAATAAATAGCATCCGCATCAAAATTAAACCCCAACAGATGGGAGGATGAGGTTGTTACAGAAGAGTGTATTGTACCTAATGACATAACAAAATATTTAAATCTTAAAGAAACCAGTTTTGATATGGATAATTTAGCAAAATTTTAAGCTGTATATTACAAAATTTAAATTTTAAATTACTTTTTTAAATTTATTATTATTGGTTTCACTTTTATTTAAAGATCTCACTTGAGGAAGAGGATATATTTCAAAAGGATATCCTACTTTGGTGGAAAAGACAAGGAGATTCGCCAAAGCTATTAGCAAGAAAAATATTAACAATTCCTGTAACTAGTGCTCCTTCTGAACGAGGATTAAGCATTGCTGGAAGGTTTTTAGAATAAAGAAGAACGTGCTTGAATCCAATGTCGATTCTTGTTATTTTTGCATTATAATTACATATAATGTCAATTTTATATTAATATTTTTTTCATAAATATACCATTTGATCAAATAAATTGTCCATAATTTAAATTATTATTTTTTTATGCATAAATTATTTACCTAAATTATAAACTTTGTAGAGGTGTAATGCTGAAATATTTTTATTAGATGCTTAAAAAATTGAAAGAATGGCATAATTAAACTTTATAAGTGGTCTTGGGTTAAAAAATTTTTATAAATAATGGGCGGGCGGGCTAGTAAGAGATTTAAGACAAATATGCAGGACGGGTGGGTATATATTTTTTTGAAAACTATGGGCGGGTTAAAAATTTTTAAAACATTGGGTGGGAGGGCTTTTGGACCTAAAACCAGCCCAATGCAGACCGCTAGCGCACATCATAATCAAATGTATACGCCATTTTGTGGGAAAAATTTTGATTGACTTATTATTATATATCAATAATAATCTTCCTCGTGATAGAATTTTTTGTATATGATGACATTTACTTAGTGGGCAGGCCACATTTAACATGTAGGAATAACAGATAGAAATCTGTTATTTATGCATCTTTTGGAAACAAGCTGCATTGGAGAAAGGAAAACAGCCAACATGAGAATAGCCAATTATTTAATTTACTTTAAAAAATGGGGTTAAGGATTAGTGACATGCATCAGGCCTAATTTTTCAAGTCCGGTCCGAATTTTTTTTAAATAGTTTTGCCGGTCCGGCCCAAATTTTTTAAGAAAATTTACCGGCCCCGCCCGAACTTATTTAAATATAGAAATTATTTTTATAATTACTCAAAACAAAAGACATATGTTATATGGCGTCTAGTTCTATAAAGAAAATAAAATATTTTTATTATCTAAAAAATTTATATAAAATTGATAAATTTAAATATATTTAAAAAAAATTCCAAGGCCCGACTCGGCCCGAACCCGATTTTTTAAAAAAATTTAGACCCAAGTCCGGTTCGAAGCCCGTTACGGAGTTGATAAATATCCTAGAAAAGCACGGATTAAAAGTAAATAGAGAAAAGACGGAGTATATGGTAATAGGAGATGAAACAGAGAGTATTGATATAAATGAATGGCAGATATCGGCAATTGAAAGCTGCAAATATTTGGGCTCCACTATACAAACAAATAGCACAATGGAAAAAGAGATAAAAAGTAAGATTAATCAAGGGTGGTTAAAGTGGAGATCTTTATCTGGAGTGCTATTTGACAAAAGAATCCCACACAAATTAAAGGGAAAAATTTACAGTTCCATAGTACACTATTCTATATAGTTCGGAAACATGGCCAATCAAAGAATCAGACGAGAGAAGTCTACAAACTATGGAGATGAGAATGCTGAGGATGATTGCTGGGGTAACAAGAAAGGATAAAGTGCGCAGTACAAGAATACTAAGTAGTTTAAAGGTAGTGTCCATTAAGACTAAGTTAATGGTAAACAGACTTAGGTGGTATGGGCACACAATGAGAAGACCTATGAACTACATAGGAAATAAGGTCGAGAGTTTGGAAGTGATGGGCAAACGTAAAAGAGAAAGGCCAAAACTTCAATGGGGCCATATAGTTAGAGCCAATATAAAGAAGTATAAATTAAATAAAAGAGATTGTATGAATAACATAAAGTGGAGAGAGATGTTGAAGGAGCTTACCACCAGAAAAGGTGAAAGCTAAAGAGAAAAAAAAAATTTAAGAGAGAGGAATGGTTCCATGATATTTTTATCTGGACGGTAGGCACAGATATATTTTGCAAAGAGATTTTGCGATGTTTGCAGAATACGGGTCTTGAGTAGAACCATGAAAATCTTGGACGCCGTTGAAGTAAGTGCAATAGCCATGTAATCCCGGTTAGTAGGGTTCGAGATCTTTGGGAAGTTACAAAGAGTGGATAAATTCCAGTCCTTAGGAGTCGTTCCTGAAGACCATATTTTGTTGAAGATAATAAGCAGAAAGCGTGGTATGGCATCCGATGTTGCTTTTAGTTGTTCTCCTGTGATATTATCCGGACCAGGGGCTTTGTGATTCTTTAGTTTCATCAAAGCAGCGGATATTTCGGTCAATGTAAATTGGGAGGCAGTATGTTGTTCATATGATATCCTCACAGGTTTTCTGGATTCAAAGATATTCATATAATAATCTGTCCAAAGTGCCATTTGGTCTTCCTGGTCAAAAATAACTTTGTTGTTTTCACGAATGAGAGGTGGTTTTCTGAAAATTTTCGATTTGTAGAAATACTTGAGTTTACTACAAGCATCAAAAAGTCTATTGCTTCTCATGTCTACATCTATCTCATAAGCTTTCCTCGCCGTAAAAGTTCTTCTGCCATTCTTAAAGATCTTTGGGTGATTTTCCAGAGCTCCCAGTCAAAGTAGTTTCGAGCGAAGCTCCTCAATTTTAAGTAAAGTGATCATAGATATCTATTCATTCTTTCCCAGAGAATTATTATTTATCAGAATCTTGCTCGCTTCATGGATGTCTCCCTTAAACAGCATCCAGCATTCTTCAACTGTTTTGGATTGGGATATATATAAACCTAGCGACCTTTTCACGTAGTTTATGATCAAACAAATCTCTAATTTCAGATATTAGTAGGTTTCTGATATTTTGTGTTCTGGACATATTTGTTGGTTGATTGGGGGAGTAACGTGTTATAGAACCAAATTTTATAAAAAAAATTTGGCCATTTGGCTAGACCTGGCAATTTATTTATCAGAGGCCTGCAGAGGTCAAAATTTTGGGTACGGTCAGGATTTTTAATTTTGATAATTTTACAGCCCGTAAAATTTGGTAAAATAAAAATGATAAAATAAAATTTAAAGTAAGCCGTTTAGACGCCAAAACAAACAGGCAAATATATTATATATGTTGATTCGATGTTACGTCAATTAAACGTGGAAAATTTGGCGTGGTCAATTGAGCTCGTATTCATAATTCAGCGACAGCCAATCGGTAATTTGTGATTTAAAAAAAAATAATACATGATTTATACATTACCCAGCAATCTCCAAGGCAAGATAATTCCAAATTTTTTATTCCTATACCAAAATAATCTTTGGTATTTAAAGGAATGTATTATCGTAAAACAGTTTTTAAATAAATTTTCATGCTTATTGTATAGTTTTGAACTATTTACAGTTTTCTTGAAATATCTTATGAATGCGACTTATTAAGGAAATTCTTAAGATCAAAGACTTATCGTGTGTCTAGGTATCCGATTATTTGAATCGATCAATTATATTGAATAGTATAAAATTTTAATTCCAATTAAAATATTAAATTTTATTTCCCCAAAAGCTTAATTAATATTAAATACCACTGGAGCAAGAAATTATTTATTAACGAGTAACAGATAGTCAGCTTGCAATAATTATAATTAAAGAATTCAAGCGTCTTTCATAAATAAAAAAAACTATAATTTAACATTTGAAAAATTTCGGTGTCGTTTGTTAAATCAGGGTTCTGAGATGGAGACCCATCGATGATTTTGCGGGGCCATATTAGGATTTTTTTAAATTCCAAATTTGGATAAAAATATTTAAGAAACAAGTATATCTATCTTCATTAAGCTATGTTTATGTTCAAACTTGATTACTTATTGTTAAAAATTACTAGTAAATTACACAAACAATCGATGGAATAGAATGCATGCAAGTTTTTGTAAAAATTAGAGTTTTAAAAGACTGCTTTCAATAGCTACCTACACATCTACAAATTTCACTAATAAAAAAACGATAATCAAGTTAGCATATCTAAGTGCATTAGGAACAAAAACGAAAAAATCAAGTTGCCTAATATTTTTTGTTAGAGCTATGTAGATATTAAAATATGTAAATATGCATATCTCGGAATTGACACAAGATAAGCAGTTAATTTTTAATGCATAACTATCTTGGAATGTTAATAAAACTTTTAAACAAAAGTCAGCATAGACAAATGAAATGAGCTCATTGTGAATCGGATTTTAACAATTTTTTACTGATCCGATCAGGAATAAATTCTTGACCGGTCAATTCTGACGCTTCCTTTATATAATTTTGTTATATAACAAATTTTAATGTTATCTAAATATTCCAAGATGTATAAAAAAACTAGTTTTTATTATAGTCTATCATAAAATGACTAACTTAACCCAGTGAAAAAAAATTCTGGATTTCGAGTGGAGTACATCACTCTAAATATTTTTTGGGCCTAGGTGAAAAAAAAAGAATCACAGGTCTGGAGAATTGGGTTTGAATACTATAGAAAGCTTTTCTAAAGTATTGTTCTAGGCCTGACATATTTATTAGATACCAAAGTAAAAATTTGATATTGATTAATTTATTCATATATACTTACTTAATCCTATTTTCCATAATTAATGTGAATAGAATATTATTTCTTTTCAATGTTTTTTTTCAAACATTCAATAGACCACAGAAATATCCAGCTATGAAACAATATAGTCGCCGATAAATAAAATAGGTAAAATAGTTATATTTTATTAATGCTAATGACATTTATACTAATCTAGAATGACAATTCATTTATTAAAGGTAAGTCAATGTCATTGGCTGTAGTAGCCATTGTAAGATATTTTGTTTAAATATCTTTCACTTTTAAATGCCTTTCAATGACTGACTTCAATGTTTGTATACTTTTTAATGCATTTCAATGTATGAATCGCCAGTCAAGTTAGTATTAATATGTAATGAATATTGAATAAATTAATAAAACTCTAGGAAAGGTTAATTTTCCTTTTAAACTAAGTTTATTCTTCTTCATTTGATAAGCGATTAGCTACTGAGTCATTATCTTTAATATATAATATTAACTCCATCCCAAATTTCCATGCTTTTTTAACATTACCTTGCCCAAGAGTGTTTCACAAAAATATTGGTTCAATGGGGGGTTGAACAAAAGAGAAAAAAATAGTAAAAAAATAATGATGGCTCACTAGCTACTCACTCATCCCTGTAAACAAGTTTTTTAATATGTCATATATACATCAATAATTGGCTTTCCTAAGCAAAATTATGAGAGGTGCAACAATACCAACAAAATCCAAAAATATTTAAGTTTATCAAATAATTTCAAAAAAATATATTTTCCCAGTCTTCTTTCAATAAATTTTTTTTGATTTTTAATTTAAGTCATAATTGCCTTTGTATTATAAAGATCTTGTTGTCTTAGTTTATTTTCTTGTATATTTCATTTTGCTTAAAATGAATTATTTGTTATTTGATAAAGTAAATAATCAAATTTCCCCAATGAATGAATAATTAATTTTTTATTTTATTCTCTGCAAGTTTTTTATATTTTCATTATTATTATATATATATATGATAATTTAATTAATTCTTTTTTAATAAAATGTATGTAAGTGGTAAAATATCCCATTACACAATTTAAATTGTTATATCTCATAAAATATTAAATTTGACTTAAAATTTTGTACAATTGTATAAATATTTGAGATAATATAAAATTTTTAAATTTATTCTTATTTATAAAAAAAATTATGGTAATTTTTCTAAAATTTTTAAAAAATTATTCTTTGGAACCTGCCTTTAATTATATAATTGTCACAAAAAAAATTAAAAAGTGCAAATTTGATTATATATTTATTAATTCAATATTATTAATTTTATAATGAGATCATATTGTGCATTTTTAGTAAACTTTAATGAAATTTGAACATTTCTTAAAATATTTAATCCAAAAATATAAGAAATAATATAAACATATATAATACAAACATGATATTAAATGAATGGCCAGATAAAAGTGGGCTGAAGGCCTGCAAATGGGGGTATGGGGGCAAACCTCCTATAAAATAGAGGCCACTAGAAAACATTTGCCCATGAGGAGCTGCATTGCCTGTTTATCCCTGTTTGTAGGCCTGTGATTTATATATATATATATTACCTTCCTAGGGCAGCTTTTTTCAACTGTTTGCATCTGTATAATGAATCTGAAAACTTGAGCAATTTTAGATATTCTTTTCCAATGCTAAAAATTAATATTAACTAATTAAATATAACAATTTTTAGGTTCATATGAATTGAGAGAAAATTTAATATTTTATATAATCTAAAATAAGAAAACTTAAGAAGTTACTTATTTATTAACTGTTTTGCCTTATTAAGTTGCCCCAATGCTATTTTATAATGATCTTTATCATATAGAATATTAATTAGGTCAGAATAAAATGGGTGTATATCATCAATTTTTGGAAAATCCACTAATATTTGGCTCAGTTTTTCGTCAAAATTTTGTTGGGTATATCTAACTTTTCGCATATAAAATTGCCTGATTCGCGATATTTTGTAGTGTTTGTGAACAACTGTTGGAGTTTTTCTTTGAGTTTTTGATAAAACAATGTCAATAAAATCCTAAATATTTACTTAGTTTTATAAATTTAAAATCATATACCTTTGAAGTAGGAACCACGCAAATGCTTTTAAAATTATATTGTACCATTTTTAAAAAGATATTTAGGATAGATGATTAATTAAAAAGCAAATATTTTTATAGTACTAAATCACAACGACTCTCGAAATTACTAGAAGATAAATATTGATATGATTGAAGTTGATGATTTAAGAATCGAGACGAACCCAGATTTGATTTATTTTTTAGAATTGCCTGGATCGTCGTTCTTTTTTTAATATTAACCTTTTAACCCTACGCACAAAGCTTTGTTTTCTTTTTTTCTCTTAAGCTCTCACCTTTTTTGGTGGTAAGCTCCTTCAACATCTGACTCCACTTTATGTTATTCATACAATTTCTTTTATCTAATTTATACTTCTTTATATTGGCTTTAACTATATGGCTTTATTGAAGTTATGACCTTCCTCTTTTACGTTTGCACATCACTTCCAAACTCTCGACCTTATTTCCTATGTAGTTCATAGGCCTTCTCATTGTGTGCCCATACCACCTAAGTCTGTTTACCATTAACTTAGTCTTAACGGGCACTACCTTTAAACTACTTAGTATTCTTGTACTGCGCACTTTATCTTTTCTTGTTACCCCAGCAGCGCCGTCGCTAGGGGGTGGGGCGCAGGAGCTCGAGCCCCCTGAAAAGTTTGAATAGCCCCCTGAAACAAAATTTTTTTTTAATGGCTCCTTAATATCCCCTTGAGCTAAAAATAAATGTTTTTAATTGCCCTCTGAGTAATTTCTTTTATAATTCTATTGAGTATTATATAGATTTAATTTTATTAAAAAATTAATAAGACTCTCTTAATTTTTATTAAATGAATACTATTTTAATTATTAGATTAAATTATTACATATAAATTATACTATGTCAGCTTGCAATCAAATTCTATGTTAAAAATATAACAATACACTCACTAAATAATTTAGCATTTAAATTGACTTTTATTATTTAAATTATTATATAACTCTAATTAAATAAATATAATCATTTATTAATTGAAAATTAATAATTTAATATTTTAGCCGAGTTCAAAATCACTAATCAACTATATTATTGATTTTTAAATTTAATTATAATGTCTCTTCCATAAAATTATTTTCAAGGTCCAAATCCAAATAAGTATAAGAGATTTATCTATATTATAATTTTCCGATGTCTTCACTACGTCATCGTGACGTCATGTCATCGCTACGTATTTATTTTTATTTTTTTATTTGTTGATTTTATTTATTTATTTTATACAAACAGAACAGATGAATGGAATTTCGAGAATTGATGGTGTACACGTACTTAACATGGATTGAGAGATTTGAAAAATCATCTTTGAATTGATAAAAACAATATTCCCTCAACTTTGTAAATATGAATGAATATTTTTATTTTACTTAATCCTTTCTTTAATTTTAGATTACCTCATCAATTTTCATCTCATATTATCAATTACACATTAATAAATCTCTACAAGATACTCAACTTGTATATATATTTTGAACATACTCACAATTTTTGTCAGTACTTACATTACAATTTTTTATACATATTTTTCTTTCATAACCAATAATTAAGAAGATAACCAAGTATATTCAAATATTTAAATATTCTTATCCTAACCTATTTATAATATCCAATCCTTATTTATAACTCTTTCTTTATTTTTTTTCCCCTCCCTTAATGAATTTATTTATCACTAAATTTTATTATCTCATTCTTTTCTTTCTATCTCTATTATCTATTAACCACTATTTCTCAAAACCTAATTCCTTTAATTTAATTTTTATTATTTTTATAATATAATCATTTATACCTTCTTTTTTCCCCTTTTTTAATCTTAATTTTTTATTATCTTACAATTAATTAACCTTAATCCCTTAATCTTAATAACATTACATTCATCATGTTATTTTTTAACTTTTAGAATATCATAATAGGCTTGATAAGTCCTCCAAAAATTTTTTTGATGATAGCCCTCCAACTACTAGAAATATGCATCTAATATTGACCCATCTACCGGTTTTACATTAATGTTTGTTTAATTTCAACAATAGTTTATTTATATTTTTGCCTGATTTCTTTATTTGTCTAGGCTAACCCTAATCCCTCACATTGCTACAAAACATGATGAATCTATTATAAGCAAAGAAAATAATGACGATTAAACAAACGCCTTACCTCTAGAATTACTGGTAGACAAAATAATAAAGAATTACGCTTGAAATGAACTCATCTGGAGGTTTATTTTGTTTTTTTTATCTTTTGTTTTATATCTGTTTATTTTATTTTCACCCAGTTCTACAAATTATACCATCGCCAAACGGCTAACTCAATATTTTAGCCAGAAAAATTATGCCTAAACCTCGAGATTTCGTCAATATATGTCTAAACCTTTGTTCCTTCTATGAGCAAAATCTTCAGGTTTGCTTAATATTTTTCTGGATGGAATATTGAGTTAGCCGTCTTTAAAAATCGGCTCAAAACGAGCCGTTTAACAACACTAATCGCCACTAACACAATCCCTATGCCTCCGCCTATTTTTTGACAAATATAAACATTTAATCCTGTACTATCATTCACTTCACTAGGAGTTAATATAAATTATACTTTATCCAATTCTCCGAGAAACTTTCATGAATATTTAGAGCTTGAATGTACAATACGGCCAATTTCATAAACTTAATTAATGGAAAAATATGCAGTAGTTCTGTCGTGGCCTTTAAAGCAATACTTACAACCGTTTTATGATTGAGTTAACATTGTCGTTCATGATTCTATTTTATAGAGGGATACCTATGTTGACATTGACATGTACAGTACGGCCAATTTCATCAACTTTATTAATGGAAATATATGCAGTAATTCTGTCATGGCCTTTATAACAATACTTACGACCGTTTTATGGTTGAGTTAACATTGTCGTTCATGATTCTATTTTAGAGGGGGATACCAATGCTGACATTAACAGAAATATCGTTTTGCGTTCTTCTTTTACCAGTATCCCAAGGTATAAGCATATCATCTTTATCAGGACGTAATGTGTTTTGTACACTGCTTTGTTAATCAGTCATCACTTTCATCTACAACCCTAAATGATATAAAATTATACATTAATTATTTCCTCTCCAGACGACCTCCCAGATTTATTTTGCCGCTTTTCCATCAAAAATTAAAATGTCAACATGGATTTGCTCTTAATTTTATCAAATACATAATAAATAATCGGGTCCGGTCGGTCCGGACTGGACCGATATCCTCGGACCGGACCGAACCACGGTCCTTAAAAAAAGATCGATCCTGATCGTGGTCCTAAATAAAAAGACCGGTCCAGGACCGGTCTTTTTCGGTCCGGTCTAAGACCGATAGGACCGGACCGTTGACCTTCACTAATTTTAACATTTTTAATATATAAAAATAATTTTGAGAGACATTAATTGATGATTTTTATATTTTTAAAATAATTTTAAATATATATTCGAAAAACATGTCTAGTTTGTAAAATTCTTTCTATTCTGTTTTATTTTTATCCAATAATAAATCATTCATTCATATAAGTCAGTACAGGGGAGTATATCAACATCGATTGCAATACAAAAATATTCTCAAATAATAAATAATATACAAATGCAACTACATTTGCGGAAATCGTATACATCTATCATGTAGTTCAACATTCACAGAGCTATATCCTCACAATGTGGGTCATATCTTTTTCTCATGATATTTAACGACTCCAATATAAGTGCAAACCTTACTTGTGGCAAAACAAAAATGAGCAAGGCTGTCAAAAGTGTTTTAGTACCTAAATCCTAGAGGTTAAAATCTAGACGATTTGAAAGATGGGCATCCATATGCAATTCTAACAGATGCATCTAATAAGGGAAATATTAAAACATTTCCCCCCGATCCTTCGCTATTTTAATAAGAATAAGAACATTTTAATAAAACTGTTAAAAATTTTTCCTCGGATAGTGAAAAATCCAACAATGTAGCTAGCCACATAATAATAAATATAGCTGATTCAGGGTTATCAATGATTATGTCAGCTTTCTGCGCTGATAATGCCTCTGTAAATTTTGGCAAAAATTAAAGTTACCGAATTGAGGCAGCACAATAAGGAATTAATACCAATTGGCTGTATATGCCATATACTACATAATTCTTGCAAGAAGGCAATGAATGAACTATCTGTGGATGTCAAAATAATTGTGATGAAATGCTTTAACGAATTTAGTTCATCAACTAAAAGTGTTAATTATTTAAAATAGTTGGTGAAGTGGCCTGACTTGGAATGGTGTGAGTTGTTGCGATATATACCTATCAGGTGGTTAGTTGTGAATTTTAGAATTAATTTGCATAAAGATTTCTTTTGGATTTTGTTGTACTTTATATGTAATTTGCATAAAGAATTTTTGTGGATTTATTGTTATAACGCGTGATAAAAAGATTATATTTGAATAGTTATGATTAGTTATAAGAAGATTGAAAAGAGTATAAAAAGGCAAATTTTTACGATATAAAAAATCTTTGTTTTTTTTAAATTATTAACTTTTTTAATTATATTATATTTTATTTTATTTTTTTATGATTTTTACTATTATAATTTTGAATAAAGAATTAAAGTTGATTTTATGATTTCGTGATTCCTAATTATTATTAATTTCCTTTTTATATATATATTTGTTTTCTATTTTTATATTTAGGTTTTGATGCACAATGTCAACTTGTCGTTGTGACAATGGTGTTGGAGAGCGGAGGAGACCGGCCCTTTACAACCTTCAGTCTGTGACCGGTGGGACAACAAGGAGATGTGTCAAACTGTATTCTAATACAAAAAAAAAATTCCAGAAGAACGTAAGAAAAATATGTAAATAAAGATGAAAAGGAAAAATTATGTTGTTAAGATTATGTTTATGTAGGAATATAAAATCTAAAATTAAAGACAAAGGTAACATTCATAGTAGATAGAGATAATTGTGTTTAGTTATTTAAAGGTGATAATTAGGAATTTTATATTTAGAAGTTACTGGTAAACTAAAAACCAATCGAATTTTGAA